ATTCAGGGTGATTCGTTTTTTTTTTGCATACTGTACTTGAAGTAGGCGTTGAGCTGATAGCTGAGGTTCTGAAAGAAGAACTATAACAAAAAAAGGTGATTTAAAAGCAAAATAATTTCTTTCGTTTGCTTTCAAAATTTCATTAGTACTCGGAAATATCAGTCAAAGAAATATCTATCAAAATCTGTCAAAATGAGTTCAAGCTATATAATTTTGAATTTTCAAATATTTAAACATTTGTAATTAGTAATATGCTAGTTTTTTTTTTCATTCCCTTTTAAAATTCAATAATAATTTGTAACTTTCAATATCTTCATAGAGGAAATTAGTTTATAGGGAATTAGTTTATTCGCATAATCTTTGTTATTTATGTCCCAAAGACAAGGATACGTTTGAAAAATTTCAACAACAAAAAATACATATATCACTAGAATTCCATTTAAAACTAGTCATAGTTAGAAGATTAAACCAAGTTTAAATTTAAAAGATAAAAATTCAGGATGCGTCAGAATCAACTCGTGTATTTTGTTTACTAAATGTTTGCTAGTTAAGGTTGAAAGTATTTGGAAACTACTATATGACACGTTTCAACTAATCTGGTTGCTCCACTAAAGTTGAAAGGTTTTAACTTCAGTTGCTAGTTGAAAGCAGGTTGAAAGCAACCGGGCAACCATCATATGACACGTTTCAACTTCACCGAAACCGCTACTTGCATTCAACTAGGTTGCCTCGTGTCATATTGCCTTAACACGATTGTCAACTAGTCAGATTTTTAGCTCACTGGAGGAGGAATGTGTGGCGGCCACTATATATATATAAAGCTTTCCAACTCACCCTGGATTGGCAACCCTTCAGCAGGGTCCGATTCAGGTGAGCCACAGGTCTGCTTAAATTTAGAATAACGGGCAACCCGGCACGAGCGGTACTACCGGGACGGCCGTGTCACTATATTAACAGAAGTATACTTCAATTTACTTTACATTATCTTTATTGAATATACTCATGTAAATATTTGTTTTTTTATTCACCATGTCATTTCTTGTATATAGTTTCTTTTAGTAGTATCGTTAAATTTTACTTTATTGTGCATACTAATTTCTTAATCTAAACTTGATTATTTGAATATTTTAAATCTCCTTATTAAATATTACTAATTGCCTTTTATGCTTATCATTATGTGCATTATTTATTCACTATATTCACTCCTGACAATGGAGATATTCTCCACTAATTTTCTTCGTTGTAGTTCATTTACGTCGCTCTAGAGCTGCACAATGGGCTATTGACAACGGTCTGGGACAGGGCCGTCTTAATAGCATGCAGGGCCTCCGGGCAAAGAAATGTTTTAGACCCTTATAACATGTCATACTGCTTAAAATTGAACTAAAAAACTTCGCATACATAAAATAAAGCATTTTTAACATATGCAATAATTTGAACAAATTTAAAAGCATTAAATTCGTTTTTAGTACACCCAAAAAAGATGAATTCACATAAAAATTTCATTGGAATGTAGAAAAAAAGATTTCGGTTGCCTTTTTAAGTTTCTCTGCTGATAAACTATTCAGATTATTGTTGTTTGCAAGATAATCGATCACTATTTGTGTAAAGAAAAACAAAATACACACTTTATACAATATAATATATTTATTTTTAAAAATATATATAGATAGTTTTGCTTAGTCTTAGTTTTTTTTAATACAATTTGTAAAAAGAAAGATTCTTAAGGGTCCCCTGAGTGCCTGAGGCCCTCGGGCACTGCCCGGGTGTACCCATGCGTAAAGATGGTACTGGCTTGGGAAACATCCCTCAGGATGATTCGAAGACATCCCATCGCAATTTTGATCCTCTGCAGAAGGGATGGTACCCCCGCTTCGGTAGCCCGACGACCTGCATGCGAAGTCGAGCATTTACGGTTGAACAGTTTAACGAGAATCAATACCGCACACCCTCGGTCCCTACACAGACTGATCCAAGTGGTCACCCACCCGCACACTGACCGTAGCCAGTGATGCTTGACTTCGGTGATCTGCTGGGAACCGTGTCTTAACGATCAGTCCACTGCGGGACTCGTTTTCTTATCAATTTATTACTTTAACATACATTATGCCTAATCAACTCATGACTATGCAGTATCGATGAATCGGCTGGTGGCGATTCATCGATACCCTGGATTTGGGGGTACAACTTTTTCTATAGTGATTAGAGCATCCGACTACAACTCCAGCGGTCCTTGGTTTGAAACTTGCCGGCAGCCAACAAACATCTTTCTCATACATTCTCCTCCATAAGTTTAACGCACAAGAATTCAACTTAAATAGCTCACCTATTTTGAACATTATAGTTTTTTTTTTCTTCCAATGAGCTGCATTATCGGTCTTGCCGATGAGCAGACCTAGTGCGTTCTCCAGAGATGGTATCCACTCTTTCAGGACCACCACAATGGGTGAGATACCGTTGGTCATGTTAATTTGGACGTCTAGTTTCTGCCACACTAGATGGCAGCACCGAGACTCTATTTGGATGCTAAAGTGCACTAGGAATTTAATTTTGCCGGAAATGCCAAGAGCCAATAAGGCACTCCAGGGATCTTTTACATGCCGCATAATCATACGACATGGCCGCTGAGGATTTTCTGCATCCCGAAAATCCGGTGTCTGGGCCGGGGATCGAACCCGCAGACTTGGGCTCAGGAGGCCGACGACAAACCAACTGCGCCACCCAGCCACCTAGTACATTATAGTATATGTATGTATTATAGTACCTTAGATTATAGTAGCACATACAAACATGAAACATGATTTGAGAAGAAGAAAAAAAATGTACTATATTGTTTTGAGAGTATAATAATAAATTTTCAAAATAAATAAATAGATGAGACAATATTACCACACTGCCACCACGGTTCCAACACATGTTTCTAGGTACGACGGGCGAAATAAAATTTGGAGTAGGTTCACTAAAAGGCTTGACTAGAGGATAATCTTTTGAAGATAGAAAAGTATCATTTGTGGGAGGTGGCGCTTTGATTTTCATATCTAAAGTACTTGGAGGTTGAAGAGTTCCCAAATCCCATCGAAATGTTTGCCAGGAATCATTATTACAAGGAGATTCTTCCCTAAAATTAAACAGTGAAAAATTTTTCTAAGTTCTTATTTTTATATGGATGTTTATGTGTCGTTTGTTATTTAAATAATTCGGCTCTTTGCAAAAACAGCAGCAATCATGTTGGTATGCGCCAGACTAATTGGAAGTTATAAGTATTTTCTAATCAAAGTGACATTTTCTAAACATACCTTTAGGCTAATTAGAAATCGGTCATTGCTAAATCAGTCTGATTTATTTCAGGCAGTTTGCAATAAGCTCAGAGTAATGAATGCTTATAGCAAACAGCCTTATTAGAAGTTTATTGCAATAAGCAAATTCAATTTGATTGGGTAATTGCTAGTTAGCTTTAAAGACATATCGGATGAATTTATTCGGTCCAAAAATATCAAACAGATTAGAAAAAGTCTTTTTCCATTAGCTTGGCACATTGTAAAATGACATCTGCATTTGAAAAAAGCTGGATTTTAGTACCCTACGGCACATAAATTACATTCATTACAATTATAAAAAAAAAGAAATTGGGAAACTAAGGATTAATACAGATTTAATATTACGATCTTTAAAAAACAAAGTTAATGTCAAAACCTTGAAGAATATCGAAAACTTAAAGAATGTCGAAGGCCAAATTGTCTAACCCGATTCTTTACTAATAGCTACTTACATTTTACAATGCGGCAACTGGAAATCTACAGCATGTTCTAATCAACCTGACATTTTCTAGGCTTATTACAATGAGCTTGCACACCTTTAGGCAAATAGAAAATTGTCATTGCTCAGTCTATGCCTTTCAGTCAGTTTACAATAAGTTCAGAGTAGAAAGCAGCCTTATTAAAAGTAAAGTTGAGATAAGCTTTTTATCTGCTTGAGTAATTAACCTAACTAACCTAAAGGCATATAGTCGGAATGCAATAAGCCTAAAAATATCAAACAGATTAGAAAATACTGAACTCTTTTATTTTCCATTAGCTCGGGGCATTATAAAACGTAGTCTACATTTGCAAAAAGCTGGATTTTTCAATTAGCCTACCGCACATAAATTACATTCATTACAATCAGAAAAAAAAGGAAATTGTGAAATTAAGGATTAATTCAGATTTAATATTACGATCTTTAAAAAATACAGTTAATGTCAAAGACTTAAAGAATGTGGAAGGCCAAATTGTCTAACCCGATTCTCTACTAATAGCAACTGACATTACAATGTGCCAGGCTAACTGGAAATCTACAGTATGTTCTAATCAACCTGACATTTTCTATAGTCCGTTCAACGAGAACTGAGAGTTGAAGTAAACAAAAGGGTTGATGTTTGATCGCCAACGTTTGCCACTTTAACGGTTTCTTCGCTGAATGGGCGATTTCATTTGAATCGACAAAGCTTTCGCTTTTATAGAAAAACGAAAACGATGTTTGGTTTTTGATACCTTAAAATTAGATAAGAAAGTGCAAAATTAAAATATTTTCATGAAAATACGTTTCTAAGTGTTTCAGTAAACACATAATTTTATTTTAAGAATAGTTTTAATATATATTTATATTTCTTTAAGTTTTGATTAAATTAGTTTTAATATATTTTGCATAAATATCTATGAAAAACATAACTTTTATAATTCCATCGTAAAAGTCGTATAGAATTGAAAGTTATGTTAAAAAAATACTCTTTTATTTTCATAATTACAATTTTTTTTTAAATTTATTAGAAGTTAAATAATATTTAAAATAGTTTTATGTTTCACCGATTGATTTAAAAATATATTAGAAGGAACTGCATTTATTTGTATTTTTAAATTGTTAATTATCTTTATTTTTCTAAGGGAAGTATTACGAAAATAATTACACTAAAAGAAACTTGGAACTTTTTTATATGTCTCACAAAATCTTTTGTTAAGAAAAATATACCCACTTAACCTATAAAAAAAAGCAGTTTGTAAACCTCGAATTCAATAGGTTTTTGAAAAAATAGAATCAAGTGTCAAAATTATTTAATTTTACGTAACATTTGAATTTCTGTACTTAATTAACAACTGTACCGATAACGAAAATAATTATATTAAACTACTCAGAAAAGAACAAAATTTTAAGAATTACTGTATTAATGATCAATTAATCATGGATAATAACGAATAATTATATCATTAAAAAGTAAAAATGAATCCTCGTCGTTTGAATTGATATTTATTTTGAATGCACTTCCGTTTTATAAATGTTCAATATTATTTCTTTCTCCGCTTTACTTATGTAAGATTTCTTCTGTCGTTTTTTAGGAGGACTTAAATCCATCGCTTTATTTTCCATATTACTCATGAAACACTTACAAAAAGACACCACGGCGAAACAAACAACCCTCTAAAAATAAGAGTTTTTGCTTGTCTGATCGGCGCTATTTGTCATTATTCCGGCGCCAAGTAGACAGCTGTATTGCGCCAAATAGCACGCCGCTTTGTTTACTTTCGAGCTTGTTTACAATGAGCTTGCACACCTTTAGGTAAATAGAAAATTGCCAATACCCAGTCAGCTGATCTTCGATAACGATCTTTCTTCGTTAACGATTCATCAGGTTTTGATAACGTTTTTGATTGCTTTTTTTCTTGTTCATATTTTAATATGTAGCCTTTGAATATCATGCGTTTATTTCATTTTTTAAAAAGGTACTTAAAATTTGGATTAACGACAGTGTTTAAGTAGCACATTGTATATTATTTCATTCAATTAATAAAGGCTAATCTGAGATTATATAAAATATATAATTATAAAGTTGAAAATATTGCAAGTTTAATCATAATGTTCAGACGTTTCTTGTTACCGTGAAAGTTGATTTTGCATTTAATTATAATAAACTTGACTTAACTGAAGGAGCTACATTGTTCCCTTTAGAACAATGAATGCTAAGTTCGCAGTTAATATGCGATTAATAAGGATGGCCAAAATGAAAAATGGATAGGTTAGTAGTGTCAGTTAACCCTTTGACGCAGAATTTTTATTAAACGTATTTTTCATACTTTTTACATTATTTTGTATTAATTTAGGTCAAAATATTTGAAAAATATTATATTTAGCATTTTAATATTTTTTGGTTGTGAAGTACAACGTGAAACACCGGTGAATTTTCCTGCATTAAAGGCTAAATCTTCCAGGCAAAGTTCCCTTCCAGACAATAATTTTTTAAATTTTGCACTTATTTAGATCTAAGAGAAATAGTTATCCATCATTGAAATTTCTTTAATTTACAAACTCAATTATTTATAAAGTTTAGAATAGGAATGAAAATCAAATGTATTTCCAACTACTTTTTTTGGAGTTTTATATTTCAGACAAATACAATTCTGATAATCTAACTGATTTTTTTTCGTAACGATTATACTATTTTTTTTTATAATTAAAAAAGACCAAAGGTAGTACTGGAATAGTTGAGTGCGTAGTCAACAATGCTAAACAGTATAATGAAAAACTCTTATTTGACCTTACAAACAGCTTTCATTAACTAGGACCGATACCGCGTACCCTCGGTCCCTACGCAGGCTAATCAAAGTGGTCACCCACCCTCTTACTGACCGCAACCAGGGATGCTTAACTTCGGTGTTCTACTGGGAACCGTGTCTTTACAATCAGTCCACTGCGGGACAAAAAAATATAATATTATATATATCTAATTATATATAATATTGAATATATATATAATATTGATCTAATTAGAACATCAGAATTTTTTTTTAAAAGAGCAACCATTGTTCTATCTGACCCAAAGAAATATAAAGTAGAAATAAGAGGACTAATAAAGCAAAAGGAGTGTACCTCACATTATGCATTACTTTACATTCAAATAAATGCTTTCTTGTGAACTGATTAATCAGTTATACACAGTGTGGTGCACTTCTCTTACTTTACGGTATAACCCTTCTGCTGTATTTCTGACGCAATTCCATGTTTCCACCTTTCTTATGAGGCAACCTTTATATTTTTAACTAAAGTAGTATATAAACACATTTTGAAATAATGGAAAAAGAAATGAGTTTTCAAAGAGTGTTTATTTTTTGTAATATGAAAAAAATAATCTTACGAATCAGATGGCTCTGAATCACTCAAGCTTCCAAGTCCAGATTCACGTTCTTTCCAAGTTTTGTACTTTTCAATTAAGTCAATAACGCAGGAATTTTTCTTAGCTTTCCTTATAAACTGGAATTTCAAAAGCTCTTTTGCCGTTGGTCTCTATGTTAAAAAAAAATATATGAAAATAAATAAATGTTTCATACTTTGTTATACAGTTTCTTAAATTGCGTGTTCAAATGCAACTTTAACAATCCATGTTAAAATGCAGTTAGCTCATCTTCAGAACTCGAGGGAAGCTAACCATATCATGTGTTGCATGGTGGGAAAAAGAACTTACAAAAAATAAATTGCAACAGGATTATAACCCATCACTCCTCTACCACATTTTTGAGTATATCAGTATACTTTATTTTCACTGTCTGCTTATATTAGTTTTCCAATCAACCCGTCATTGCTGCCAGTTTTATATTTACAATNGTATAAATATATATATATATACACAACAAAATAAACAAATACAAAAAAACACGAAGAAAACCAAGAAAAACAATAAGTATCATTTATTGCGCGTAAGCTGCAAGTAAACAGAACTCATTAGATAGGTTCAAAATGATGATAAACAAAGGAAAATTACAGACACATGAAAGAAAAAAAAAGGGGTGGGGGAGAAAAAAAATAATAAAAAAAAAAAAACAACTGGAAAAAAAAAAAAAAGGATACAATTTTTTTTAAAAATCCGGAAAATAAAAGATATAATCTTTTCATCAGCCCACACGATTATATCCGCAAAAAAGAGTGCTTTCTGATATTGTATCAATATAGCCAAAGCAAAATATATTAATACAATAGTGTGAGGTTTCTCCCCCCCCCTTTTTTTTCCATATGTCTGCAATTTTCCTTTGTTTATCTTCATTTTGAACCTATATATATATATGTGTGTGTGTGTGTGGCTGTGGATGGTTGTTTACAAATTCTCGACTAGAAATGACCACAGTGCTGACGTAATATATTCTAAGTGAATGATGGATCATGGGTTAGAATCTCTTTGCCATCGGACTAACCGTGTGAGTTTTCTGTAGTTTTCCTCTCCATGTAACGTAAATGCGTGTCAGTTCCATCAAATTGTCCCCAACTAATATTAGTTTGTTCCAATGTTTGATCCAAGAGTTTCCATGTCTTCTAGGTTGAGTTCAAAGTTACGAGACTACGGAATTAAACTTTGATAGTCGTAAACTCAGAGTTGGGTCGGCTGTTCAACCCTGATTATATAAATAAAAAAAACGAAGAGTACGAAATAAACCTAATTAGAATTGGTCGTTGCTGTTCACAATACAATGAATCTAAATCTAATTGTCGTTTTATTTCTAAAAATCGAGACCAATATTTCACTTGTTTTAGAATGCACGAAACTTAACTCACCAAAGCTTTCCACAAGGGAAAAAAGAACAATAATAATCACCATTTTCCATCTTAGACTAGAATTATGGATAACCTAATAAATGTTTCCCATTTTAATGTCTTATTTCTGCTCATAAGTGTAAATACATTTAGTCAAATGATGTATAAGTTTAATATATGTCTGACTTTAATATTACAAAGACTAAAAGCCAGGTTAGTATGTATCAATAATAATATTTTAGCCTAGTATAAATTTTAAAATAAGACGTAAAGGAGAATGTACCATTTAAAAAACACTATTAACGAGAAATTAAAATTATTAATGGATTTCATAAGAAAAAAAAAATATGTAATAATTATCTCACATTTGCTGGGTCTTTATTAAGGCAAGCCTCTACCAGCTCTCGAAATGGCTTGCTATAGTTGCCATTCAGCTGTGGAGGATTACTTTTAGGGATGAGGAGAAGAACTTTCATTGGATGAAGATCAGAGCGAGGAGCTTTGCCTTTCGCTAATTCTATGGCAGTGATCCCTAAACTCCAAATGTCAGCCTAAAACAAAGTTATTAAATTAATGCTAAAATAGTACTGTACAGGGTGTTTCATAATCACCGCTCTTAAAGTATATTTAAGAATCTTTTTGAACCCCTTCGAGATTGACGAAAGGGGAAAGAAGCGCTTTCCCACATCCGCACATTTAGAGAATATACATACAGTCAAACCCCGCTATAGTGAACCTTCAAGGGACCAAAATCTCCGTTCACTATAACCGTGACTTCACTATATCCGTTCCGCAAACAATTTTAACTAATGGTTTCAAACTCCCCCTTTTATTACACATTATTCAAATAAATGATCAATAAAATGAAATACAAAAATGACTGAAACTAAACGCATCGAAACGAGCTTCATTGCTGGATGAAACTTGATGGTGTTACTAGCAAATGTCTCTTACCTCCTTTCAGTTTTTGATATTCAACCGGCTTTTCTCAAAAGTGATTCATTAAATTTTGAATAGTTTTTTCTTCTTTTTTTCTCGCTTAAACATTAATTTACAACCCCTAATGCGTAATATATTTTTAATTCTTTATTTGCTTAGATTTAAAAATTAAATATATTAAAGGTGGTTTTTAAAAAGGACCCTGTAGGACCTTGTGACAATAACAACGCAATACATGAATAGTTTCTGTAACAACTTCTTGTATTTAAAAAATTTATAAAAAAGGAGCAAACAAAGCAAAAATTAACTTTTTTAAGCAAAATAAATAAATAAAATTGTTTTTTTTTAACATTTCTGACTAAATATTTCAGAATGGTGTTTGAATTGAAGTCAAAAATTAAATATATTTTGCGATATGATCTCCTTTTCACAACTGTACTAGTGGGAACGCTAATCTCTTTGTTTTACCAAAGTTGCAGCAGAATATCTACATTATTTTATAATAATTTCGCTTTTTATTGCTAGTTTGGCGATTTTTTAAAATTAAAAATAATTCATGTTAGATATACTAAAGTTAAAAGTTTGAAAAAAAAAGCATTAAGTAAGCATTGAATATAGTTTGAAAGCTGAATAGTTTGCAAGCTTGGAATAGTTAGAAAAAAGCATTAAGTAATTTTAGAATTGTTTAAAGAGTGATTTAAAAAAGCATTAAGTAATTTCAGAATTGTTTAAAAAGTGACTTAAAAAAGCATTAAGTAATTTTAGAATTGTTTAAAAAGTGACTTAAAGCATTAAGTAATTTCAGAATTGCTTAAAAAGTGACTTAAAAAAGAATTAAGTAATTTTAGAATGGTTTAAAAAGTGACTTAAAAAAGCATTAAGTAATTTTAGAATTGTTTAAAAAGTGACTGAAAAAAGCATTAAGTAGTTTCAGAATTGTTTAAAAAGTGACTTAAAAAAGCATTAAGTAATTTTAGAATAGTTTAAAAAGTGACTTAAAAAAGCATTAAGTAATTTTAGAATAGTTTAGAAAGTGACTTAAAAAAGCATTAAGTAATTTTAGAATTGTTTAAAAAGTGACTTAAAAAAGCATTAAGTAATTTTAGAATCGTTTAAAAAGCGACTTAAAAAAGCATTAAGTAATTTTAGAATAGTTTAAAAAGTGATTTAAAAAAGCATAAAGTAATTTCAGAATTGGGTATAATATGAAAAAAACACAACTACTTCGATTTAGTAGGAACAACATATGACGCAATGCTAAACGAATGGAATTTAGTTGTTGTTTATTTAGTTATTGTTATTAGTAGTTCTTGTTATTTGTTTTAGTTGCTGTTGTTTATTTAGTTGTATTTAGTTTCAATAACTTTTCTTTATAATGCAATAAAATCTGGCGAGCAGCTATTTAAACGATCGAACACTTCGTTTGTTTATTTGTGGCTTGAAGTTAGGCTCGCAGAAAATGCCGTTCATGGGTTAAATTTAGTAGGAACAACACAACCTGTGACGTAGGCTATATTATACCCAATTGTTTAAAAAGTGACTTAAAAAAGCATTCAGTGATTTTAGAATTGTTTAAAAAGTGACTTAAAAAAAGCATTAAGTGATTTTAGAATTGTTTTAGGATCCTTATGTGATTTTAGTTTTAAAAAATGCAATATTTAATTGCTGAAATGATTCTATACCTTAGAATCATAAGCTGAGCGGCATATTACTTCAGGAGCCATCCAAAATGGTGTACCAACTAAGGAATTTCTTTTGCTGGTAGTGTTTGTAAGTTGTCCAGCTACACCGAAATCTGCAAGTTTCACCTCTCCGATCTCTGACAGAAGAATATTAGCAGCTGTAAAAACGTAAAACGGTCAGAACAATGAATTTACTGAAATCACTGTTTATGATTTAGCAAATGAATAAGAACCTTTAATATCTCGATGTACTTTGCGTTCCGAATGTAAATAATCAAGGCCTTTCAGAACATCTCTCAACACAATAGCTATGTGGATTTCTTCAAACTTGGTCGCTTTCATCAGATCCAATGCAGATCCACCTCCGAGATATTCCATGATAATCCATAATTTTGGCCCCTATTTAAGCAAGTAATACATGAATGATTTTAACAATTTATGACAACTTGACTTTGTATACTGTGTATACAAACACAGAGCGTTGCGAAATCACTGGCTTTAATGCATATTTTTTAGATTCCTTGATAAAAATGAAGAAAAAAAGAGCATAAAATTAAAAGGAAGAAACTTAATAATCAGAGTCGCGATGACTCAGGGGTTAGAGCGTTCACCTTCCAATGAGACCGGGTTCGAATCCCAGTCGATACGAGTTCCGCATCCGGCTTGCACCGACCACAGTGCTGACATGAAATATCCTCAGTGGTAGATGGATCATGAGTTAGAGTAGACGGATCATGAGTTAGAGTCCCCTTGCCGTCAGGCTAACCGTGGGAGGTTCTCGTGGTCTTCCTGTCCATGTAACGCAAATGCGGGTTAGCTCCATCAAAAAGTCCTCCACGAAGGCAAATTTCTCCCAATACTCGATCCAGGAGTTCCCATGTCTTCTGGATTGGGTTCAAAATTACAAGGCTACGGAGTTGAACATTAGTAGTCGTAAACCTACAAAATTGGGTCGGCTGTTCAACGACGGTTATATATAAAATAAAAAAATAAATAAAAAATAAAAATTTAATGTTCAAGGAATCGGGATAGCCTGGTTGGTAGGGAACTGGCCCCGTGCCCAAAAGGTCGTGGGTTCGATCTCTGCCGGACGGAGACTCCCCGTGTAGTAAATGGTGACTGATGCATGTTAAATCTGTCGAATTTCAAGTCCTCCATGTTCCCGTAACAAATCATACCTCTGGGGGTACTGATCCAGGAGTTTCCTTGTCTTCCGGATTAATTCAAAATTACCAGGCTACGGAGTTGAACATTAGTAGTCGTAAACCCAAAATTGAGTCGGCTGTTCAAAGACGGTTATAAAATAAAACTTTATATTCAAGCGATGAAAAAAGAATGAAAATATCATCAAAACCTGACGAATTTAATGAGGACGACAGGATTAAGAGCATGCAAAACATTTTCGATTACGAGAAGAAAGTAAGAAGGAATGAAATACGATTATCAAAAGCATCTTCAAGGCTACCAAACTGGTTTCAATGTTTATGATCCCGCCTTCCTTAATAGCTAGTTTTCAGTTTTTTATAACTTTTTATTTGAAGTGGATACTTCGAATGTCTATTAAGGGCAGAGTTTACGAAACACTCTATATTTTGTTGTTTGTATCTGATAATCTAACTATTTCACGATTCCAGCTGTTCAGCAATGTTTCCATAAAAGGAAAGCCCATAGCTTAGCCATGTTGATACGTTGAAATGAAGCATTGTCTAATAATTCTAGAGCTTCGAAAAAAAGAGAATAACTAAACAATAATGATAATAAATCCTAGAAATTACAACTTTACGTTATTAACTCCTAGTTCCCAGGAAAAAAATTCTTCTTTTGTTTTGTTTATGAAATATGACTGAACAGTGGAATCATTTCCTTGCTATAATAATTTGTGTTTTTTTAAAACATACTATATTTTACAACTTATTAAACTGAAATTTGTATGCGACTTCACTATTTATATCTAGCTTCTATTCCATTTTTGCCTAACCAACAGAGGGCGCTGTATTAACTCACAATAAATTTGATTATACCACTTGTGCTGCCTGCCACACAAGTGATTATAACAACTAGTGTAGCTGACAACGGATTGGAATGGAAGGCTTATTGGGAAGCCTAACAAATACAATACCATCATATTATTTGCTTTATTGTTTTACAATTATTACATTTCTTTGTTACTAAATATGACCTTTTTATTCAATAATCTTTTCCCGCTAAATCATTCTGTAACAGATTCTATTGCAAATTAAACACACATATATATACAGCTTCTTTAGCAAATTAATCACTATATATACAGCTTTTAAGAAATAATACACACAAATATATATATACACTGTTAGACCTTTTTTTTTAATAAAATTATGGTAAAATAACTGGCAGCAGTCTGTCCATTCTATTATCCGTAACTTTTACGGTAAAAAACATTTTTTTATTAAAATTTTTAAAACCATTTACAACAACATGGTTTCAAAACCGTAAATTTTACGGTAAAGAACATTTTTTTCCATTGAGGTTTTAAAACCGTTTACATCTAGCATGGTTTCAAAACCGCGAAAAAGAAATTTAACTGGACATTGGAGATAGTTTAGCACCTTTATGGTGCTGCCATCTATGCGTTAATGAGATTGACATATTTTAAGAACCCAGGGTCACAAAATGGGGAGTACAGGACACTGTCCTGTTTTGAAGGGAATGGAGGAAATATTGTAGTGTCAACGGTGGGATTCGAACCCCCGTTCTGCCAGTCATTAGATGGACAGATTAGCCCCTTCACTGTTATAATATGTACCCATCTGCATGGGTAACGTCATTGGTTTGGGCTTAGTTGATGTGATAAAAATCTGGTTGTTTATCTGCATGAGGTGAAAACAGTAAATAAACAGTTTTTCTCCCGGTAAACAGTTTGAATACCATCTTATTTATGGTGATTTGACTGTTTTGTTTGAATATGGTAGAATAACAATTAAATAAATTGTTATTTAAACCATTTTTTCCGAGAAATTTCTACCACTGTACAGCGTTTAGAGCAAATTAAACACAAACATATATGCAAACTTCCATAGCATATTTAAAACAAACATATATTTGTAACTTCTGTTGTATAGTTAAAAATATATATTATAGTTTTTAGTATATTTTGAAACAAATTTAAAACAAATTTTCTTACTTTCAAGTAAGACCCGTAGTATTTTGTCACATAAGGACTGTCACATTGAGACAAAACCATGATCTCTTGCCTAATGTCTTCTATTTCTTCCAAGACTTGTTCTAAATCAATGATCTTTATAGCCACAACTTGCTGCGTCTGTTTGTTTATACCCTTGAAAACTTCGCCAAAGCCACCTTGACCAATTTTTTCCTGCTTTGTGAAGATGAGCTCTGGATCAGCTTGCTAGAAAAAACAAAATACAGCTTACAATGTATATGATATGCACAGGGTATTCCATAAGGGATATTTCCGTATTGTGATCTGCCATGCCTCTACAATCGCCAAGGTGCCAAATAGATTTTAAACTTGTAAATTTCTTTTTTTTTTTTTTTAAAAAATAAAAAAAAAAAACTTTGGATGTTTGCCTGGGGGTGGCTACAAGTTATACCTTTTGAGTTGGTCCCCTTTTCTTTTTTTTAGTTTCTTGCTGGTCACTAACCGGAAATTTCCATGAGTTGGCGATAATTCTGTCACAGATAACGATACGGAAATCACCCCTACCTTAAGCCTCGCTCTTAATTTTTAGATTCTTTGTTGAAAACTGTTGTCTGATGTCAAAAACTATGCACACTGAGGGTACAAAAATTAATATTTATGCAACGAAAACGCAATAAGCATTCCAAAATCTAACAAATCATTATTGAGGCAAAATAAATTTTGCTTGTAGTGTGAAATTTGAGAAGGTTTCTAATAGTTCTCGTTCGATTCCAGTAATCAAACATATTTGTAAAACGGAGAATTATAGCACACAAAATATTAGCGAAATTCCATAAAATAGAAATTGGTACAATTGAAGTCTGTTTATAAATTTTAGATAAAAAGGAAAATGAAACATAGATCACAGATAACTAATCTTAAATCCGTGTTACCTTGCTAATATTTGGCAATATATGTAGCTAATATTTGCCTCATACACTAAGAAAGCAAAACTTCTTCATTTTTTAAATTTTCTTTAATTTAAATCGAACAAAGAAGCATATCTCATACGTTTCCTGCATTTAGATCAGATATAGAAATTATTATATAATATGAGTTATTATAAGTATACTTGTCCTGATATAGAATACCTTTGATTTTTACTATGTTAGTTTATTTTTTTTATTCGATATTTGGATTTAATAATAAAATCTAAAAAGTAGAGTAGGAAAATAATACAAATTTTAAAACGGGCATATTTTTATGAATATATAATGTCATTACGTAATTAGAGCCAGCAACAAATATTTTATCTGCGAATTTCTATAGCCTTTTTATAATGACAGAAAATAGTGCTGAAATGATTGCAATGCATGTTAGTCTATGCTGATGTCAATGATCAATAATATGAAAAAGATTGTTAGTTGCGAAAAAGTAAACTTTAAAAATTCGAAGCTCGCATTTTGCTATTTTTAGCTGGATACGAGCTTTTGGTTTTAATGTGGAACTATAAGATTTATATTGACAATTTAGATTATTTCTCTAAGAATTAATAAACAATTTTAAAAATTAAAAATAAATTTTTTAATAATAGCATTAAAATATTACATTTTCGAAATTTTTAGTCTCTCATTTAATTGCCCCTTTCATAGCACCGACAGGGGCTAAATACGGAAATGAAAATCATATGGAGCATTTTTAATGAAGTTTATTACTATGATTTATACATTCTTTTCTCAGTACAATTAAACCATAGAGTAAAATTCTGAAAAGGAGTGTAAATCTGAAATTAAATACCATTAGTGCCAAAAAATTTCCTAAAAAACTCCATATTAAAATAAAAAGAGAAACGAAAAAGATTTTGAAGTTAAAAGTCCCCAGTTGAGGTCGCAAACATTAGTTTTAGAACTTACAAGCGAATGTTCAGATTATCTTGGGTTAATGAACTCTAGATCAGTCTTTCTCAAAGTGGGCGATAACGCCCCCTTGGGGGCGTTTGAAACCTAGAGGGGGGCGTTAAGGGGCCCAGAAAAAATGGGGGGCGTTGATGAGGGTTAGGGGGGCGATGTATAATTTGTAATTTCATTTACTTTATATAGTATTTTAAATTTCACTAAAATTAAAACCCACCTACTACACAATAACGAATAATTAGTTTACATTTCTACCCTGTATGATGTTATAAAAACTTAAAATACTTAACATAGATTTAGTAGGATAGCCCGCACACCGTACGCAATCAAGTTGTAACAAGTTTCTGTGGATAGATAAAGGAACATGATCGATGATAGTTAAAAAATTAGAGCAATTTTACCTTAATTACATTGCACCAGAAATTATTTTAAACATTAGGAAAAAAACTACCATGCAGAGTTTTAAAATATTATACATACGTAAACTAACATAAATTGAAGTTTTCTTTACTTTCTTTCTTGTATTTAACATAAGGGCATTTTACAGCATTTTATAAGAAATTACTGATGCAAGAATCATCACTTTTATATAAAATGGAAATACGTATATAATTATTGTTCAAAAGTTTTTTTTTACAATTAGCCCATTACAGTCCAGTGTCTGCTGCTCTTACTCAAAAAGAATATCGGCAGACGTGAGTTCCCTAATTTTCCCAATTTATCAGTATCCTGCAACAACGACAACTTGCTCGTCTACTGCCAACATTTGGAAAATCTTCACAGTGAAAGATTCCAGGACATTTTGAAATTGGAAATACTAGACTGGGTGTTAGATCCTTTTTCAAATGTCAACATAGCAATATCACCCCAGTTGGAAGAAGAACTTATAGAACTGACAACGAACGAAGAAATAAAAATCAAATACAAAAATGGCTACCAACAATTTTGGCTACATAAGTCAATTCCGCAGTTGTACCCTTGATTGTGGTCTATCGTTGAACGGTTTTTTAAAGCATTCCCATCGTCATATTTGTGTGAACGTGGATTTAGCGCTGTGACAACGCTGCTTACTAAAAAGAGAAATCATTTGCAAGTTACCAAACGCGGCGACTTACGACTGTTTTTGAGTAAACTCGAACCTGATATGAACAAACTTATTAAATATCATCAAATTCATCCATCTCATTAGATTAGTATAAAAACGAAAACTCATTACATATTTATATTGTTTCTTTTAATTTGATTAAAATATATTATTAATATTATCCCCACAATTTGCTCTCACTGGTAAAAATTTCTAGTTTAGAATGTAAGTTTAAGCATCAGAACCGACTAATACATATAACTAAATTAATTAAAGTAATGAAATTGTGGTTTTTAAGTTTTAGGGGTGTATAAAAAATGGGGGGGTGCTGAAAAATAATTGATTTTCAAAGGGGGCGGTAAAAGAAATAAGTTTGATAATCACTGCTCTAGATAGTGAAAGATTATGGATACAGTTCTAAGATACACTCTTATTGTCCCTTTTCCTATCTTTTTTTCAAAAAAACATATTTTTAAATAACCTCTAAAATTTTTCAATAAATGTGAGCAACTAAGAAAAGAAGGGGAAGAAAAAGAGTTTGTCACAGAAATTGACCTTATCAAATACCATGGGGACCTAAGTCATGTATGATTCAAACTTAAAACTGCACACAATCACGACATACACTAAAATATTCCTGATCTGAATATTGTTCTTATTATTTTCTGTATTGTTTTTAAAAAAATAATTATTATAATTTTTTCTCTATTTGTGGTATTTAGTTTTCTTACTCTAGAATGTTCTCCATGAACCTTTTTATTATTCTTTTACATCTGCTATCACATTAGTTATTATCTGAACAAAATAAATAAACAGGAAAACGTATAAAATAAATTTTATAGGAATTGTAGATTAAAAATTACTTAAATCGTATGTATACGAAAAAAATATTTTTGCATAATTAACAAAATTATTCATTTACTAAACCTTATATGTAAATTTTACTTTATGTTTAAAAAATGCATTCTTCTAAGAAAATTAAATTGCACTACATTTAAAAAAAAAATTGATTTCAACATTTTTTTTAAATATATATTTTTTAATACTTTTATATTCCGTAACTTACATTTTCCGGGAAATATTATGAAACAACAAATACAACAGTGAAATAATAATTGAATAATACAATTGTGAAGCAGATCACTTGAATTCGAATTTAAGTAACAGTTCTGATTTCTAAACGAGTTACTGAATAAACTTTTAAATGTTCCGTGAGCAATAAGAATTACAAATAAATATCATTAAACAAGTTGTAGCCATCGAGAGCAATTAATTCCTACACTCTATTTTATGATTATGACTGACAAAGCCATTTATTTATCGCAACATATTAAATAAATGCAATTGCAATAATAAAAATAATTTATATTCATTGTAATGTTAAATTAACATAAAAATATTCATCCATGTTTTTTTCTTTCTCATATACATTTGACTGTGTATAAATATTAGGCTCAAATATCTTATTTTTAATTATATCTAGCGCGAAACATAAAAATAAATATTTCGTTATTTAGTTCATTTATTGATATATCGTTTAGAAGCGACAACAGAAAATTCAATTTTGTATGTATGATTGAAGTAGCTTAAATTTATTATCAGAGAGAATTATACAAAATAATGCCTGCCGTTTGCATTTGTAATTTGCATCGGAATTTAAATAAGATAATTTCTTCATTATTTAAAACTTTTTTGGTTAAGCTACGTCAAAAGTGGGTAATTATTGTATCTAAAAACGATAATTTAATAACATATTTTTTGATTTATTATTTTAAGTGACTTTTTGATTAATGAAGTTTCATAGGATTATTAATAAAAATTTAAAAAATGAATTATCGGTAGATACAAATCAATGCCAAAATGAAAGCGAAATGTAATTCCCCCCCCCCCTACTTATAAAATCTGTCTTCTATATGCATCATACAGAAAACTGTTTTTTTTTCCTTCCTAATTTGCTAGAATTAAATATAATCTTACCAAAGAATACTCCTTTTTTTTCGGAGGTTGAAACCACGTATTTCTACGTCTCCAAATATCGACATAATGCATCCTAATCCATTGCTTTTTCCATCTTGGCATCTTCATTGTAAATATCGATAAAAATAAACAACTGATAATAGACGGATGGTGTCGTGAGCCCCCTAATGACCACGAAGAATAAAGTTGAACAGGGTCGTGTGCCACCTGTTCACGGTCCAGCAATCATTAACTCAAGAGCCTTGGACCTGTTCCTTCAGTGAATGCTTAGAATAATAAAAAAATGAATGACAACACTCAGAAGTCCAAAATACTGTGACGAAACTCGCTAAGACTTTTTAAAAGTCTTCATTGAATTCCTGTGGTGGAAGGCGGATGTTAGTAGGAAAAACTGCCCACCCGTATTGCTTTCATAATAAATGATCGTCCTCAGAAATAGGCCATTATTCCATGAATGCAAAAATCACGGTTTTTATTACAACTTAGGAAGTGAGGTAACATAAGTTATCACTTTCTTAGGAACAAAACCTATTAAAAAAAATGTTCACTGGTTCTCACAACTGAGCGTATTTAACGCAAGAAAAGAAACATCATTAACATCTTAATATCATCATTAACATATGTAAAAGGTTACAAAATAACACTCAGCCTTAGTGATAGATGTTAATTTTCTTCACTGTACCATTATTTTACACTTTTAGTAACAGCGTATTTTTAAAATTATAGATACTTTTTACACTCTTTTATCTAATTATTTTATGCACGTTTGCTAGTTCTTTAAGCTGTTATTTCTCTGGAAGTATTGATTAGATTTTTTTTTTAAATTTAAAATTTATGCATACAAAATTTATTTCAGTATGATGCGAACTTTCATACCTTGTCATTTGAATGAAGTCATTAAGAAATGGTATTAATAAATTTATTTTTTAAAATGAGATTATTTTAGATAAATGAGCTTTATGATAGTAGGTAAACAATATTGTTTTTAGAGAATCGAGTAAATTTTTTCAGAGATATAGCGTGTAAAATAACGTTAAAAGGAATTCAAACTTTTGATTCTTTTTTTTAATTAAAACTTTTGGACAAACTAAACCAAGCTATTTTCCATATTATGGAAATTTTTTAAGAAGAAAAAAATTTTTTATTCAGAGAAAATTTTTGCTTTTGATGTATCAATTAAACAATCATAAGGGTTTAAATATTTCGTATATGTTTGACAAAAAAGCCGTTGATTACATTTGGAAAGTTAATTATATTTCAAATTTATCGAAGCTTGTACTGAAGGCATACGTTCCCAAACATTTATGCTCACCATAATTTATTAATAATATAAATCTCTCTTTATCTATATTCCTCAGGAATGAGTAATTGCGAATTTTTAAAACTAAAGAGGCAGCCAACACTAGAAGTTATCAGATTAGTCTATGCATAAATGTCCATGTATTTCATAAAGTGTTCTTCAATGCCGAAACAGAATGTAGCATTTTGCAACAGTATCTTAAATGGGATTAATTTAAAAAAGACAAAATAAATAAATCTAGCAAAAATTTATACTTTAATGGTTATTAAAAATATAGTAATTGAGCAAAGTGCGCAACATGAACATTTTAATGACTTTTGATCCAGTAATTGGAATTTCCCACACAAAGTTATGCCTACGATAATACTCATTATCTTTCAATAAATGAGTTTTAGAACTGTGTCCAAAATCCTTTGACAAAATAAATAGTTCTGGATGTAGACAAAATACACAAGAAAAGAAATCATACATTAAGAAGCCTAAACTTTTGAAATCTCTTCTGGCGCAACTATTGGAACCATATTTTCAAGATAGGGCTATTCCAATATTTTGACACTCAAGAATCCTTATTCGAAGTAAACAAAAAGTAGAAAGTTTATTGAAATAAAGTTTGAGATTGATTTTAACTTAAGGATCACTTCACACTTAAGGATTTTAACTTTAGGATCACTTCACACTTAAGGATCACCCTTGAACCATTAAGATTGCCTGAGTACATGGAAATCCAATCATTAGATCAAGAATAATTGTTGGATTTCAGGATACATACTGAGTAAAATTCTTTTTGATTCAGTTTTATTTATTTGTACTATCTTTTAACTGTACAGCATACAATTTTACTAAATTAAAAATACTTAGTTGATGCACAAACAGGGTCTTTTTGGCAAATTTAATGCTTCCTCCTCTGCTAACATGGCAATATTAATCGTGTGACAATATCTTGTTTGGTTAAAAAACTTTTTTGAAGAAAAAGAAATGTTAAAGGGGATTCATATTATTGATGATAATTTTCCTTGAGAAATGTCATCTTTGAGCAATTTAAAAGCTTCTTTATTGGATGATCAAATCTAAAACCAGAATTGTAAACCACCACATTGACTCCGTGAAGACAATATTTACTTTATAAAAAACTTTTCTTCGAAACTATTACCACATATTTACAGATCAAAGCTTTCAAAATTTTTTCTTTCACATACATCCAAAATTTGCATAAAATATATGAGGAATTACTTAAAACCATTAATCCTTCTTGAATAACAGTTTTCAAAATGAATTCACAACTGCTGTTCAACATTGTAAATAAAAACAAAGACCTTGTTGTCCAAAATTTTAAAATTTTCTTTCTTGCATAAAACAAATATTTTCAGCGCTAAAAGAAAGTGTTTTATTTAGACTTTATGATTATTTGCATATTATATTTTAAACAATTTCATAAAAAAGAACTTTTACATAACTTATTGCTATAATTATATACATAATATATTCTACAGTAACTGTTAGCAGTACATTAATATAATTTTCAGTACGGTTTAATGCAATTTTAAAAAAAAATTTATTTTATTAAGTTATTTAACTTTGGCACAAAAAAAAACTAGACTATGTTTTTTTAAATGTGTATGAGGAAAATTATATTATGCATAAGATGATAAGAAGATATATATATAATTTGCATCAATTTTTATTTACATTAAGACTGCTGAATTAAGAATATTTTATATTCATATGCAAATAGCAATTTATTAAGAATCCATGAGTAAAAACCTACACAACAGTCAGACTACTTCGTTTTTAATTTTAGAAATATAAGATTCTTTCTTACAGAGGAAATTCGAGCCATCATTCATTTTATTTAAATGCTAACTTTCCAACTACTTCCTTAATTATTTTTTTCTTCCGAAACTAGTCGATATACTTTTATAAATTAACAATTTGCACCTAATTTAATTAGTACCAAAAATTTTATTATATTTTGGATTTTTTTGTCCCTTTTTTAATAAGCAATTTTTTTTAAAAAAAGAAAATGTTTTAAAATAAATGAAATGTCAAAAATTGAAGCAAAATAAATTCAACAAAATAAATCAAAATACATTTTATTTAACAAAAAAGAAATAACAAAATTCTAAAACATTATCAAATATATATGCAAAATAAATAAAAAACTTTTACTCTCAAGTCGATGAATTTGTTCTGGAAATTACGAAACTTCGTTTTGATGAATTTAAATCAGATGTAAAGCTGAAACAAAAAAAAAATTTCTAAAATGAAATCAATCAAATTAAATAAGTATTCTCAGAACTGAAATGAGATAAAATTTTATCTAGTTCGACTCTCATTATCACCTTTATTAAAGAATTATAATAGTCTGCTTGAAAAAAAAAAAAGAAAAAGCAAGGTACCTTTCAAACTTATTCCCACAAATTTTAAAGGCAACTAAAGACAAGTCAGTTTTCTGATGTAATGTGTAATTAATAAAGCTATTAGATTAATCCATCATTTGAGATGAATCATAAAATTTGTTTTAACATTACGATTACTTTCAGAAACACAGTTTAACAATTACAAATTAACAATTAAAAAAAAGATGTAACTAGACATTAGAAACGTTATTCTTTACTTTGTTAAAAATGTCTTTCATTCAGAATATAACTTTTTTGAAAAGAAGTAATTATGTAAATTATAATAAAAAAATTATTATTATTTTCTTTGGGGGGGGGGGTGATAAAATATCAGTTTTGACAATAAATTTAAACTAATTGTAATAATACAATATAATTTAAATATTTAAAACATTGATTTAGTCACAAATTACTAAATTAAAAGGAAAAATATTTTGAAGAAGGCTTTGACCCAAAAAAGAATGTAGAGTCAATAAATTAGAAGAAAAATAAATTACAAACATTTCACATAGTGGGAAAACACCTTTATCATTCTTTACTACCTAAATACAAATTATTTACATTTTTTAATTTTTTTCAAATGCATTCTTAAAAAATATTTGTTTTCAAAAATATTTCTAAAAAATTCAAATTTTAAGGGTTTTGAATTGGTACCTCAATATTTTTGAATGAAAACCATGACCCAAAAACAAACCTCAAGTTAAATACAGTAAAAAAATTATGAACAAATAACTGAATAAAACAGCTTCTTTATTATTTTTTAATGTATTATATAATTATAAATTGCTTCAAACCAACTTACGAAATGAAATTGAATTAACTTTTTCAGCATTTCAACAAATGAAAACATTGATAGGAGAGCTGTCTTTCCCTTAAATTTCAACTAATATGAAGGAGCAACAAGCATCAATAAAAAAATTTCATTTAATAGTGAATATTACAATCCATATGTTAACTAACATATTTTTATAGTTATAGTCTGAAAAGCTATAAAACATTTTTTAATTTCAACAAAATTATTGCTTGAAAAGTCCTTTTTAAGTAGTATAAAATCAAAATAAGTAACATTAAACACAAATATAATTTAGGGTAACAAAAATATACAAATGTCTAAATTCCATGAGTTGTCTTCAAATTATAACCAACAGAGGGCGGTATTTAAAGTTAAATCTTTACAAGTTGTTAAAAAATTGTCAAAGATAATAAACATAAGAAATTCTGATACATTTATGTATAATGAACATATGTTATAATGAACATATCTCAATATACATGTAATAAAAAGTAATTTATAACCTGCCAATTTAAAAAATAAAAATAAATAAATCTACTTACCTTATTACTCCCATCTTTTTGGTTACTTTCAACTGCAGCATTAGAAGCAGATTTTCCTACTACTTTTTGTTCCATTCTTTTAGGCTACATACGTATAAAAACAAAATAATTAAATCCAGAAAACTGAAAACGCATACATAAAACTTTACAGATGTAACTTTGGATAATTCAATATCACTTTAAGAGGAAATGCAATTCTTTGTTTCATTAAAACAGATGTCAATTGTACATAATACATCAAAATATTTTACCACAAACAGGACATAAGTTAAATCCCTTGTACTGAATTTAGATTGAGTATAGCTAATATTTCAGTTTTTTTAATTATCATCTTTATTTGAACTTTAGTTCATTAGCTTTTCAAAGCTCTAAATTTTTGATCTCAGATTTTTAAAAATGAAGTTATAGCAGCTTTTTGTATCTGCATAAAAAATTAGTGTAAAAAATCATTATCGTGAGTGAATGAGAACTTGGGGGGGGGGGATGGACACTGGTAAGAGAGGAATAAATATCTAACTAACGAGATTTTGCATATGTAACGAATTTAAAATTTTATACAAGCGGAACTTTGAGAAAATTTTGTCGAAATATAAATTATTGATTCACGGACTTCCGCAAATTAGCGGTCTTGAAATTCGTGGAATTCTGCAAATTAGTGAAAGAATCACATGCCTGCTAATAACACATTCTGCATAATCTAATAATGAAAAGCTACCAGGAATGAAAATAAACAATACAGGATAAAAGACATTAGAATTATTTCAGTTTAATATGTCAATATATGTCTTTTAGTTTTTTGCATAATAGCTATATTTTGCTATTGATTAAACTATTATAATGGGTATTCAGTTAATAATAAGAACTGACGCAAAACTGCTAATTGCTCTCATAAGTGACACAAGTGGAATAAAGTCAATATAATATGAAAAATTTATTAAAAATCTTACTGACTAACTTTTTTTATAAACAAAATTTTAAAAAAATGTTTATTAATAAATAAAAAAAACTTAAAATTTGATATATGAAATCTCACAAACTGGATACAAAATTATTCATTATTTCATTAACTAGCGGACAAGATCTAATCCATTGGCAAAGTACTTGGTAGTAAACATGTTAAACCTAAAATGCTGCAGGCACTACTTAATACAAACAATATTACAAGTAAGCTTTTCCAAACTTACATTCCTTCAGATTAAAAGATCTAATATAAATATGTAAATTAAGAGAATAAAAATTACGTAAACATACTTCAATATGAGCTATCTAATTCATTAAAGGAGAAATTCATTTCCTTTAAGATACTTGAATAACATCACAAACAGATAATCTGGATAGAAAGAAAAAAATCAAATGCATTTTCTTCATAAATTACAAAATTATTATGCTAGTTAATGAAATATTTATAAAATAATAATATTGTAATTTTTCTCAATTCTCTAAAAAAAACTATGAAAATACTTAAGCAAAAATAAATAATTAAGAAGTTATTGGGCAATCTTGATTGACTATCCCACTTACAAACATTCAAGTTTTTTTTAAAAATATATATCTTAAATAATGTAGTTTCTAATGTTACCAGATTTAAAAAGTTGCAAAGTAAATAGGGGCATCATTTTTACAGTTTATCAACATATAAATACATTTTTAAGAAAGTTTAACAAGATTTTATATGAAATAGTATATTTAGAGCATAGATAGAGTGAATTAGAACATGGCTTACTTATTTACAGAAAAATTACTTAATTTTACTTATTAATTAAACTAAATTCATTACTTATTAATTTTACTAATTTCAATACTTATTTCATTTATTAATTTTATAGAATATTAATCTGTTTTGGATTGATTAAGATGTAATTTGTATTGTTTGAAAATGACATTAGTGTTATGACTAAACACACTAAGTATCTTATGGTTTTAAATATGTTAAAGAGATTCATTTATTAAAAAAAACAAATACACTAAAACCTTCATATGATCAAAATTCTTTATTTATGTCCTTCATAAGACATTTTTGGAACTTATCCAGTAAAGACAATCATAAAAACTTATTGCTGCTGCACCTATATACTAGTGTATTCTAAACACCTATTACCACTACACCTAATACCACAATTAAACAACAATGACACCAATAACTAATAAGTGCCATATTTTTTTTAAAAAGAAAATCTAGCTGAATGAGTTTTAAAAGACTTTTTTTTAAATTTTAAAATAAAATTTACATTAGATTTATGTCTGCACTTACATTTGTTTAAAAAAATTATAGGACTGCTCATTAAAGTTGAAACCTTTGGAGCATTGGAGAGCTTTGAAAAGCTGTAAAATAATATGTATAGCTTCAAATGAATAATACTTACTAAAACGTAAAAATTTGCATCACATTAGAAATTTTTAATAAGCAATCATATTATTCAACAGTGATCAATTTGACAATATATGAATCCTGTCAAGATTGAATAATTTGGATACTCTGTTATGGTTAATTTTCTAAATTAAAATCTTATTGATGCATATAAACTTTAGATAAATTATGAATATAAGAAATGTTCAAATATATACAGAATAATAATAATAAAGGTATAATAACAAAAAAAGAATATTTTAAATATAATAAACAGGTGACGAAAAAATTAAAAATTTCTAGTAAAAAAAAAGCAAAATTTATTCTTAAAGCATATCATAAAAGCGTATTTTAACCAAATGTAAACAAATTTACATCGAGATACAAATTATTTTATTTGACATTTCATTAAAAGTTACGACGTACATTAAATTTAGAAACATTATCATAAAAAGCACCTAAATAATAATAGTTTGGCATAAAAATAAAAATAGGAGTGATTTTATGTGATTCCTTTGGTAAAAAAAATAACTACTTACACTTTATTGAAATAGGTTTTTGACATAGGTTATGTTTATGTTTCGTTAATTTCCATCTCTTCTTTCAGGATTCTAAAAGATTAACCTTAAAGGTTTCCAGCTACCTATTTCTGTAAAATAAATATCTTGTTTTAATTTTTTGCCCAGATTAAAAAATAATAATTTAAGGACTATTCTTGTTGTAACAATTCAACGTCAACCTATCGTCTAACGCCTTATCCTTTTATTAAAGTGCATAGATAGTGCTTGGATTTAGCGATAATATACGTGTAAAAACAGTATAAGATTTACATTTTACACAGCTCGAGAATCTCTGATGATGATCCGTAGATATGCTGTCACAATTTCGATCCTCTTCAGAGATGATGGCTTCCCAGCATTGCTAACCCGACAACCGACGTGTGATGGTGAGCATTTTTCGGCAGGACACTTTAACCAGAACAGGTACCGCGCACCCTCGATCCCTTCTCATGCTGATCAACCCACCCGCTCACTAACCGCAGCCAATGATACTAGACTTCGGTGATCCAATGGGAAATGTGCCGTACGATCAGTCCACTGAGGGATACAAAATCGTTATAATAGTTAAGATATAAAGGATTTAAAAATATATATATATTGTTTCATTTCATGGAACTGAGTTCAGTCTCTGGAACAGCCAATATTGTTCCAATTTTAGATTTTGGTATCTAAACTTACAGAAAGAGGATGTATAACTGGTTTTTATGTTTATTTAATAAACATGAATTTTTTTTATTCTATACAATTTTAACAGTTTATTTACTCAATTATTTTAATATTATTTTTAAGTATTAATTAACTAGGAATTAATTATTGAGATATTACTAGTCATAAGATATTTGTTAATTTCATAAAATTAATTGATTCGCACACATTAAAAGAAAATTTTAAAAAAATTGAGGATAAATAAAAAGCACTGGTTAGTAGATATTTTTTGAGCGTTATCGCCTATTTTGGCTACTCACGTTTATTTATTAAACATCAAATTATTTCTTCATGAGACTTCCGTTAATTTTTACTCCATACTGTTTTAAATGTATAAGAGAAGGGAATGAGGTTTTAACTTTTAATTCACAATAGTGCAAGCATGGAATAGTAGTGTTTACCCATAAATTTATGTATTAACAAACTTTGATAACACTTAAATTTATAAATGAATCTTGTGAGAACTCACAATAATTTTAGAATTTAGGATGACATTGCCATCTTTAACAACAAGATTTTCCTCTGTGATTCAAAATTTGATAAACAATTTTTTTTAAATAATTTGAATTTCTGAAACTAGATTCAATCTTTTAAATTGATTTTTTTTTGTTGATAAATTCAGAACAATATTTACTTAATACCCAAGTGGAAAAAAATTTGCATTTTTGAATGAGCTAGCTTAGAATTTTTAGACTTAAAAATAAGAATGCTTGTTTGTAGTTCATTTACGTCGCACTAGAGCTGCACAATGGGCTATTGGCGACGGTCTGGGAAGCATCCCTGAGGATGATCCGAAGACATGCCATCCCAATTTTGATCCTCTGCTGAGGGGATGGCACCCCCGCTTCGGTAGCCCGACGACCTGCACGCGACGTCGAGCACTTTAGGGTAGAACAGTTTAACGAGGACCAATACCGCGCACCCTCAGTCCCTATGCAGACTGATCCAAAAATAAGAATGCAAATGAAGTCTTTCACATCACTCTTTGCATTGCTGAGGTTTTTAGGTACATTTTCTTTTAAAATACCTTCGAAATATAAAAATACTGCAAGATACACTCAACCCTATTTTTGTGCCGTGGATAGGGACAGCATAAAAGAAAACACACACACAAAAAAAAAAATTGCAAAAGTAGTTCACGATTAGCTAAAAAAAGAATAAGCTTTTCTAACAAAATTGAAAAAGTATTTTCATGTGGTGAATATGTACCGCATAAGAAAACCCTCCTGTAGAGTCATCAAGAGCTGTGGATCCTTCCCTTTTTGCTGTAAGTTTTAAAATCATAGTCTCCCTTTCTAAGGAAATTACCTTCCTCTTTGCTTTGAACCTTATTCATTTTTAGGGATTATAACTAAAAATGAAATAAAAATTTATATTTAAATAGAAAATATAATAAATTTACCTTCATTTTACGCTTTGAAATGAATCTTACTTTAATGATCCAGGATTGTGAAAGCAGCATGTTAATTAATATATGATTAAAAAATTAAGACACATGTAATATTCTTTTGTATCAAATCCGCTTATTCAGAGAACTTGTCACTTTCGCAGGTCAGAGACGGATGAAAAATAACTATTTGCTTCCGTCAATTAAACTTCTTCTACATACTTGCTAAAACAAAGCAAAGCATAAGACTAGTCACCTCATTAGTCTGTTTCAGGAATACCTGAACTAACACAATGCAGATGTCCTCCAATGTTTACTTGCGATCAATGCATCAACAATTAAATTAATGCGATTATAGAATTAAATATATTATATGTAATGTAATTGGCAGACGCAATACTTATGTAATGTAATGCGACGTCAGACACGTCAAAAAAACTAAATGGGAGATCAAATCCACCAATTTTTTTTACCGATAACTTCTGCAATTATGTTCCAATTTGATTGAAATTATCATTTGACCAGGGAAAAAAAAATCGCACAAAAACAAGTTTGAGTGTATATGCGTAAATATATACTCCATTATCAAGTGAATTAATTTTAGTGATATTAAAATTTACTTTTTATAAGATTGGTTTCAACTTTTGTTATCATTTAAAACTCATGGAGTTTTACTACATGTGTATTTTGTACCTGTGACGTAAGAGTGTTTTAAAAAAAAAAAAAAAAAAAAAACAATGATAAAAAAAATGAAGAAAATAAATTTATTGACAAAAAGTAGTTTAAAATAATTTTAAACAATAACAGTATATAATTTCAACAATAACAGCATATAATTTTAACAATGACAAGGTACATATCTTTTGTATACAGTAAAAATCAAATGTATAAGCTTAAAAGCAACAATTTGAATTTTATACCTTTCCTTTTCATAAGGAAAAGCAACGAAAATGTTCTCACTTACATGTTGAAGTGTCTGCAGTATTATAATATATTTTTAAAAAAAACAAGGCTAAAAAAATTAAAATAAATTTAGTGACAAAAAGTAGTTTAAAATAATTTTAAACAATAATAGTAAATAATTTCAACAATAACATCTTATAATTTCAACAATAACAGCATATAATTTCAACAATAAGAGCATATAATTTTAACAATGACAAGGTACATATCATTTGTATACAGTAAAAGTCAAATGTATAAGCTTAAAAGCAACAAAAATTTTCGCACTTGCATATAAAGTTCCTGCAGTAAATTTCATGTTAATTAAAATTGAAAAAAAAAAAAAAAAAAAAAAAAAAAAAAAAAAAGACAAGATAAAATTTATTATGCCACGATAAATTTTAAACAGTAATTCATTACAAATAAAAATGAAGAAATACCACTATTTAGATAAAAAAAAAATGAATTTAAATTTCATACTACATGGCAATTGAAAACACAACATATTTTTGTGCAAATTTAACATAAAATTTTTTGCAAGAGTAAGCTATAACCATAATTTTGGATACAATTAATTATAAATAGATTGGATTAGGACCACAAATAAGAAAAACTATTTTAAGTAGATTATACCGTTATTAAAAACATAGATTTTAATAAAAAGCAATAATTTTTTTAAATAATTATAAAAGTAATCTAAATCTAGATTATTTTTAAAAAATTTTCTTTGTACTAAAAATAGAGGATTGTTAGATTAAATATTAAATGCTGATCATAGTCAACTTTTTGATTCATTTATGGGTTGAACATGATACACCTTGTCATAACGATCTTTTTTATAAGAAAGAATTGGTGAAGAGATGATAGCATGTTTCATATTTTGACTTTCTAAGAAAGTATTCATAATAAATCGATTGAAATCTGTCACTTCAGGATGTGTTCTGTAAGTTTCCACCTAAAAGGGAAAAAAGAAAAATTCTACTAAAATAAATTACAAAAAGAAAACTATGTGAGCTAAAAAAATGCTATTTAAGAAAATATATAATTCTCTAAATTACTGGACTTGATAAACAAAGAGCGTTCCAAAATCAATGCCCTTCATACATATTTTTAGTATCTTTATAAAAAAAAACAATCACAGAAAAATGCAAATATTAGGGGTCACAAATAAATTTATAAAAGTGAAAGAACAAAAATGTTATTTATATCACAGTTAATAAAGACAAAGTTAAACATCAATGCAATATTATATGATATATTGCATCAAAACAATAATAATAATCTTTGACTGATAGACCTCCATAATAATTCATAAGAATTTCATAGTTTTTATTTTTTTCCAGTTTGTCATTCATTTGCATCCTTTACTTGTGTGTATTTTTGAGTTCATTTTTGACAATCGTTATAATTGTTTATTTTAAAGGCAGTGCATTTGGGACACAACTTATGAAAAAAAAACAGTGTTTTCAAATTTTAAACTTTTTCCTTAAGATAGTTCTTAAGAAAAAGAAGTCTACCGGAAAAGAAATTTAACTAAAGTCGATGCTCCTGGCAATGACATTTTATGACAGATTCTAAAACCTAAACTTCAACTTACAAAGAAATATTAGATTTTATTGCTCTTTCAAATATATATTTAAATACTATGCACAACTATATTTGATAAGAAAAGTTTGTAATAACAATGATTTATTAAAAAAACATGTCTTAAGATTTATTTTGAAATTTTTGCTAGAATTCATTTTTTTTCTTTACAAGACATAATTTTTTAATTTTATATTACAAAAAAATTTACTAACTCAACATTAATTGAAAATTGCATAGTTTGTAAATTTTTTTTAAAGCTTGTAAAAACAGTTTGATTTGATGACAAACCCATAAACACAAAATAAGAGTGCACTCAAAAGGGAGAAGAAAAGGAGAATTGCACTAATGCCTGGGTCAACTGAAGGTTTGTTGAAATACTCTATACTTTTTATCGTGCAATAAAAGCTTAACACAACCTAAATAAATATAAGTACAATTTAAATAATATAAGCCAATAAATGTTAAATTTTCATAAAAATATGCACAAATAAAACAGTTTGGTAATATACATTTGATATGTTTAAAAAATTGATATTTTGAGAGAATTTAGAAAGGGCTTTGTCAAATAGCTGACAAAAAATTAAAATTACACATTTTGAGTCTTAAGCCCACGATCAATGTTTACCCAGTCCGTAAAACTTATGCACAGTTTTGTACACTTATTTTCAATCAGAAATGTCACCTTTAAGTTTTTCAGTTACTTTTCAGGAATTCGGATTCAATTGACTTATAATTATATATAAAACTGCTCAACATGCATTAAAAAATTTATATTACACTCATAATTTATTAGAAAATGCTTTCATTATTTTAACAGCTGAAATAGAATTCTGAAGGTTACTAAAAAGTTTATCTTAACTGTTTCATTATATAAGTATAATTTTAAATGCCAGGCATATGTTTCAAATAGTCCACCAAAAAAGAAATAGCAAAACTTCTAATACACTAAATCTATAGTTAATAGAATACTGAAGATAATTAAAAAGTTTATTTTGGCTCTTTCATTTTACAAATATTATCTTAAATGTCATGCATGTATTTTAATAAGACCATAAAAAAGAAATAATAAGAGCCTAAAACAATGAGAAGCAATTAGTGGAGTATACTTAGTGCATAAATTTTATTCTTGAATTTAAATTAATAATAAATTTTTTTAATTACTTTTTTAAAGTATAAAAAATAAAATAAGTAAAAAAAAATATAAAATTTTAATACATACATTCATCCATTCACATTTAGCTATTTCATCTTTGCTTTTAATAATATTTAAGTTAAGGGGCCTTAAATAGCACACAACGTAGATGTCACTGCAATTGAAGATATGTTGATGGTGATGACGCAATGCAACTACAGATTTGAACTCAGTTTCAATACCAGTTTCTTCAAAAACTTCCCTTTGTGCAGTGTGGGCAAAATCTTCACCTATGAATGTATGGTTCATATCTTATATCAAGGAACAAAATCATGTTCTCTATATATTTCATGCTATATTTTGTTGATAAAAAATACAACAAGCAATTGCAAAAACTGTTAAATGTTTCTAAATTTATTGGAAAAAATGAATTTTTTAAAAAACATTAATTTTATTATTGTTTTTCCTCAATTACCTGGATTGCTGTAACCTCCGGGGAGCTTCCAATAAGGCTTAACATTGAATCGTTCTTGTATAGTTAAAACTTCATTTTTGTCATTGATAACCATTCCTCCAACACCTGAAAAGATTAAAAAAAAAAAAAAAAAAAAAAAAAAAAAAAAAAAAAAAACATATTGAAGAAAACATGTTTATTTATTTATTTAACTAACAAGGACAATGATAAATTTATTTATGGAATCTTGGAATTTCAGTTAATTTTTTGCTTTTAATTATTTTTTGTTTTCATCTGAAGTTTGATAAAGGAGAATTTCTACAATTAGAAAGAATTATGAAAAAAGTTTTCTACATGAAATAACTCACATCTTTAATTTTAGTCAAAAATTTTAAGTTCAAGTCAACTACAATTTATAATGAAATAAATCTAGAAAAAGAAAGCACAGAATAAAACTAAGCAGAATGAAACATTACCAATGTGAGTGTGGGGATATTGGGGCAATAAATTAGGTTCATCTCCTGGCAGCCACCTCGTAAGCATAACATAGGAAGTTTTTGCATGATGAAATGAGAAACCATGCTAGAAAATTGAAATGAAAAAATATTGATATAAAAATAAATATATCAATAAAAATACAAAGTATATGATACATTGAGAATAATAATCACCTTTACTAAAATGGGGATGTATGAAGATTTTTCTAAATTTACTTTGAACCATACACCTCTGATACCAATATTTATCCAATTTGTTAAAGAATCTAAAAAAGTTTTATTTAAAGTTATAAGATGAAAAACCAAAATCTAATGAAAGCTAAATACTGCCAAAAGAGACTAAGTCAGTGATTTGTATAAATTATATACCCGGAAAGTTATTTAAAGCCTTTTATATTTTTGAAAGCTCAGAAATAGTTCGGAAAGAAAGCTCAGAAATAGAATGTGGGTATATTGGCAAGAGTTTTGTATTAATAACTTGGGCTCCTCCATTTCCTATAAAAAAAATTTAAAAAAAACTTACAAAACATAAACAAACGCCAAAAAGAAGACATAATTTCAGTTTTGCTAATTGCTGACTTGAGTCATCTTTCGGCATTATATCCACAATATATTTATTACCTACTAACAATATGCATGTTTAATAATGTAGTTGAACTGAGTTTGATGAGATATTTGTGTTTCAGCAAACAATACATAACCCTTCTTTCCTGCATGCAGATGATGAGGATAAATACTGATTACCTAATTTTTAGTTTTAAAAATTAATACATCTCATTATTTGGAGTGGTTTATTGTATCCCATTTGTCTGACTCTATTATATGACATATTGTTATTTTCCAAGTACAAAACTATTACTTTAAATCAGATTAAAAAAATGATTTAGATGGGGAAAATGCAACATAGATAAATAATTACTCAGTTTTTTTTCATTTTAACCTGTTTTTCCTTACAGAACATTCAGTATTTACATTAAATGTAAATAATAATTACATTTAAATATTAGCTTAAATACAAACATACTATTAAAAGCACAAAGTAAAAATGAATTTAAATATTTTAAAAACATATTTCAAAATTTTTTAACTATACAAATTTGTTAAGTACGCACCAGATAAAGACTTTTCAAATTCTGTGTCAGATAAGACTAAATCATGAGTTTTTACAGTAACACCTTTATAACTGCAATAAATAGCACATATCAATTAGTTAGATTCTAAAACTAATAGCTTGAAAAATTACTGATTTTGCAATATCTCTGAAATCAACAAAATTTTTTATGCATAGTGAGTCAAAGAAACTTCCTAAGGTGAAAATGAAAATAGAAAACAACTTTTATTACTTTTGTTCTTATTTTTAAATTTCTCGACCAAAGTTTAAAACCCTAGTATTTGCAAGTTAACATTGATTTATAGCCTGAACCAGTTTATTTCTTCAGAATTATTTCCAGAACAAGTGTCAAAACAAACATATATATATATATATATATATATATATATAATGTATGAACATCAGGGGTCAGTCCCGGCCAAATTTTTCTACCGTTTAGCGATACCGTCGCAAATTCAACTTTAGGAAAATACTTTTTCCTAATTTTTTTTTTTGTATCCCGTAGGAAACGATAAATCCATACTTGTGTTGATTTTTACAAAATAGATAGGGTGACCCGGGGTAATTCACGATCACTCTGTTTCTGGGGTAAATAATGATCACCTAAGTTTTATTTAAAAAAAATTTTTTTTTTTTTCAAATTTAAGACATGGACAAGAATGCTTGTACACTTTACTAAAGTATAACTACATTTACTTAATAATAATTTATTGTTTAATCTAACAAAATAAGTATATTTTAAACTGCTTTGTGTATTTTCCATTTCAAAAATGGGTTTAAAAATGTGCACATTTCTGCAAAGATCCCCCTTCTTCTCTTAGTAATAAATATTTTGAGACACTTTCTTTTTCTTTGATATAAAAACAGTGGGAGCTTTTGTTTAATTGTTTCACATCTACTGTAAACATTATAATTGATTATAGGAAACTATATCAAATGTTGCCCCCTACAGATGGGGTAATTATTGATCACTGGGGTAATTCCTGATCATTGTCATTTCTTCTTATAAATAGTATATAAAATAGCTTATAAATACCTAATTGTCTTTTCCTAAATAACAGTTCACATTTATTAAGTGGAACAACTATAAAATATATTTTAACTGTCATCACAAAATTTGTTTTTAACTGTATACAAGACTGTATTCTGATTTGCACCATTTCTGGTTTGTCTTACTTTGCTTCTATCTTAATTTTATGTGTGTACATCGTTAGAATAATTTTTAAGTTAATAAATTAGCCTAGTATAAATATGGTAAGAAATTATAAGCCTAAAAAGGATACTAAGCTTCTAGAAAACAAAATTAGTGAATTTCTTTTAATGATTGAAAATGAAAATTTCAGTGTGAGAGCTGCTGCCAGAGCTGTTGACATACCTTACTTAACTTTACACTTTCCCTAAATGAAGTTAAAAAATCCAGCAAAAATAACCCATGTGGGAACTCTCTTATATTTCAGAAGAACATGAGAATGAGTTGGCTGATTGCCTAAAATGTATGGCACAATACAAAGATTTTTGAAATTTTAAGGTGTTAATTGTTCTTCTTGCTTTTAAATAAATCATTTTATTAGCTGCTTAAACATATCTTTTTGGTTTATTTGTTTGATCTTGATGTCTTATTTGTTAATTACCATTATATAATTATTTTTAAGCAGTCCCTTTACAACAAAAACTGGTGATCAATAAATACCCCAGAAGTGATCAGGAATTACCCCAGTAATGATCAAGACCAGGGGTAATTCCTGATCACTAAATATTTAAAATCTTTCAAATTCTAATTAGATTTTCAAACAAAAGAAGGTGGCATTGGACTCATCTCATATAGCCTCAAACTTCCAGTAAATATTAAAATTCTATTTCGAATAGTTTTTTCACAAAATAGATGTTTGCGTTTTTTGATCAGGAATTACCCCAGATCACCCTACCTCTCAGAAATACCAAGACAGACCCCTGTATATATATATAATATTAAAATTTAAGTTTTGAAAATAAAACAAGTAACAAGAAACCAAATCAGATAATCTTTCCAAACTGACAATTAAAAAGATAATTACAACTGATATTTTAATTTAGTAATACAATGTGATTTTAATACGTAAAACTTTTCAGGTGAAAGCTTATGTTTACCAGTTGCTGTGTTCTCCCTACAGCTCATTTCAACTAATTCTTCAGTTATGATGGAAATGTCAGAGAAAACACAAAAAAAGAGAAATAGCTATAATTTAGTCGATGTTTGGCATTTGCAGACTCATCAGCTGCCAATGAAAAATAATATTATAATTTAGCTGCAGCATTTTACAGTTGCTTTGTAAAATCTTCAGTGAGACTTAATTCTTAACCGAATCATAATTAAATATTCCTTTCATAATTAAATATTTCCTTTGCAGAACTCACCTATTTAATTATGTTTGCTCATATGCGTAAATAATTAAATATATCAGCAGCTTTTTGGAAAAATTAAGTGCGTATGCAGCGACCATTCTTTAACATTAACCATTCTTTAGCAAAATTTTCATCATGTTAAAATTACTTTGATGCTTACATTAATAAAAAAAATATTTAATCAACTTACATATCCTGTTCTATTTCAAATACTGAATAAGAAATTGGTGCATTGGTCGTCATACTGATACTTCTTTGGTACTTTAATGGAAAATAAAACCGTCCAGTTTTATTAAATCCCTAAAAAAGTAAATATATGTGCGTGTGAATATACATATATATATATTTGAATCAGAAAAGAATAATGACAATAAAATTACAAATTTAAAACTAAGCAAATAAGAACAAAGAAAGTAAAAAGTACAACACCCAGCAAACAGAAGTAAAATTTTATTCTTAATAAGCAGGGCAGAAAAGCAAACATAGTCTTTATATATTATGTATAGTAAAAGAAGTAAGATATTAATAAAAATTTCAACTCAATTTTATTGAGTAAAGAAAATTTTCAAACTATAGCAAGATGACTTCAACAATCTTCACGTAAGTGCACGAATATCTTTAATATATATTATGCAATATAAAACAGTGTTTTCACTACAGCGCGAGAACGCGAGAATCTCGCATATTTTTGTCTTTTCTCGCATTAAAAAATGATTACCGCGAGAAATTCGCGCATTCTATAAATCAATTTCAAAATTCGCGAATTTCTTGCATTTTGGAAAAAGCTTCGAATTACGCCATTTAGAAAAAAATCCGTTTCACTTTTCTTCCTAGATCTCATTATTTTCATCATCTGCCCCATTACCTAGCTTCCCTATTTACCAGTATTGTTTAGAACCTTTTCGAACAACAGAACACAACCACGGAACCCCTTTCAGAGCACATTTCTCTACAATCACGTGTTCACCGTAGGTAAGGTTTCTTCATGTAAGACGTTCAAATTTTTTATGCACTTATGTAAGATGGACAAATACCTTGTAAAGGCAAAATCTTCTGTGATGATGCACCAAAATATTCAATGGTTTTAAAAATAGAAGACGTTAAAAATTTATTATAATTAAAGAAAGAATTTTTTTAAAGAGTTTTTTTGTTGTTTTAGCTTTTATAAATCTCACTTAACTTTTTGAAATCTCACCCTGTTTTTGAGAAAGGGTGAGAAATTCTCACCCATTTTTTTTCTATGATGAAAACACTGATAAAACCTTTAGAAGAATGCAGGGCTGTCAATTGATTAATCAAAAAAGAGAGTGAGAGCTACAATTTTATCAATGATACTCAGCAAAAAAGAAGTTTACACTTTTTGAGAGCACGCAAAAAACGAATGCGCATAGCAAATGTGATACCATACATAATAACGTTTTATATACTCAAAATTCTGATAAGTAAAACGATATACGCAAATATTTTTCCTACAACATCAGTTTTAAACGTCGGATAACTTAGTTAATTTTTTTCAAAATAACTTACGTTTCCTAAACAAGAATAGAAAAAATGAGATAAAAATTTTACAGACATGAAACTTGAACTTGAGAGAAATTGATTTATTGATTAAAGTTGACATCTGAATCTTCTAGCTGCTTACTTTTGTCTATCTTAACTTTTAAATTTATTTATTTTTACAATTATCTCCCATTTTTAGTGGAATATAACATATATACTTAGTTTCAAAATATTTAATTAACAAAGACAGAGTTTAAAAAGGGAAAGAATAGTCTAAAACTTCAGATTTTACTATATTTGAAAAATATTAATAAGAAGCACGATAGTTATGTAACTAAACAAAAACAAATCAACAATAACTGTTCATTCAATCAATTTTATCGATATTGATCAAAATAAAAAGTGACGAAATCGGTCTCCTTGAAAAAATTCTTTGTGCGCAATGCATTAGTAAAATTCTATTTGCCGGTAAATGTATACAGTGTGCTCTTTAAAAAAGTCTATGAAAACGTTATCTATATTGCTATAGTATTTATTGTAACTAGCACTGCGATTGAATGCGGCAACTGAACTATTACATTTCACATACTTTATCTATGTTGCTTCAGTTTATTTAAATTCTTAATTTAGTGTCAGTTGAATGATTTATCTTATTTATATTTTCAGTTACTTTACTTCAAAATGCTTACTTTCTGTCTTCTTTTTCAGAGCTGAATTATGGATTTTTCTTCAGTTCTACTTGAAGGTGCTTTTGTTGCAGCTGATGTTTGTTTATTAGGACTATTTTACAAATTGTATAAAGATAAAGTCAATCAATTGCATTCTTTAGAGGTATGAAAGATAGGTAGTTTGTAGTTAATTATTTCTTAATATTGATGCATTTTTATGTTCACAATAATTGATTGTTTCGTTTTCTTTACTTAATTGCTATAGATGCTAATGATAACTTTGCTGGATCCTGGCCAAAACATCTTGCAAGGTTTTTGTAATATTCACTTTTCGCGGATTTGTAACTTGTTTAAATATATGAAAATAAGTTTGCGATTTTTTGTCCTTGTTTATTCTCAACATAAAACAATTTAACATAACATTTATCTGTAATTTTGTTTTAGAAGTTTTATTTTCAAATTCTTGTCCCATAGTTTTATTTTTTTTTCAATGGTTTATCAAGCTCATGCTTTTAAAAGTAAGAATTATGTCCTTGCTAACTCCATTGAAATTACTATATAAAAAATGTTTTAATATATCATTTTCTAGTTTATGAATTTGATTTCAACTGTCAAGTTTCTGGGTATGTTTAGGTCACTGCTTTTATCAGTCATACCCTAGTTATCATCAAATATAATTGAGAAAGTTTTAATCCGAAAATAACTATTTTGCCATTAAATTTTAAACTAAATAAATTCTAAAAATTAAGTGTTTTTGGGAATTTTAATGAGTTTTTGAAACAATTGTTTAAATATTATCCAATGTCTTTAATATGTTTAAATGCTTCCAATGTTTAAATATTATCCAAGAAGATTCAAATATATATTAGTGATAATGCGTTATTTAAACTTAAAATACATGTAACAAAATTAAAAAAACTTTTTGGACTTATTTCTATTTTTAAGCTTGCTTATACAACACTGTACAATACTGTGTAAATAAAAATATTTACACAGCAAAACTTAAAGCTTATGAGCACTAAATGAAAAAACCCAAGTTTTTTTCAAATAAAACACAATTTCCCCTGGGTTTTTTCAATAAAACCCAGGTTGGTTGGGTTTTTTCTAAATAATGAGAAATAAATAAATTGTTCAAACCCTGGTTTAAGCACAATTTTTGTTTTAAAACCTGAGTTGATGTCATCATAGAAATCTAAGTCAGCAATACTTTTTTTATTTATTGACAAAGTAGTGCATATTTTGGTCAAGTAGATTCTGTGCTACTATTTATTACTATTATGCACAAAATTTTCTATGGGATGCAGTGATTCGTCTTTATTTCGGGTACAAAACTAGTAATTTCAAAGCAAAATTATATTCATATAAAGTCCACACTAATACCTGTTACCATTTACCTTATAAAAATTAAAATTATTATGGCATTTCTCATTTGTGTATGACGATAAAAAAGTATCGCTAGCTAAAGCTATGAATCAAAATTTGTTTAAATCCATGGTTGGGATTTTGTCTGCCAAAAACCTAATTTTTACAAAATGGAAGAAGATAAAATGACAATTATTTATCAATAAGTATTATAAGCACTTTTAGGAAGGAGGCCAGACTCCCCTGCCCTTCAATCCCTATATATTTGCACTCCTTGCTCTTTTTGTAAAAATAATCCATCATCCCTTAAAAACACTGTTTTTTTTATTTTTTGAGGAAAAGGTTGTTTTCTTAACCACCTGTTTTAATAAAAAGTCCACTTCTTATTTATTTAGTTATTGATAATCTTTAATTTCATTCCTTCATTTTAGTAAGATTTTTTTTTATGTTGTCTAGTTATATAGTTAAAATTCATATGATATTCGGCCCTAGAGATATTCACATCTTTTATAATGAGTTTCTTAGTGATTTTAAATTTTACCTTTTTTTTTTAAACTAAATATCTTTTATTTAAAAATGTACTTTTAAATGTTTACTTTTTCATTATTTTCAGTTTAAAATATGAAAAAAGCTTTGAAGTTCTTGATCAGTTAATCCTTTTTTTTTAGTTTACTTTTTTTTGGAAGAAAATTTATACGTAGGTTGTCTTTATCTTGCCTATGATTATTTTTCAAAAGTTTTGAATGTTTCTGTTATTTTGATTATGAGTGATAATTATTTTGTGAATTATACACATGAAATAGTGTAAGAGGGTAATTAAAATTGAGGATCTAGTTCAATTATTACATAATACACATTTTGCTAAATTTTAACAGTGCCCTTTTCTGTGAGGAAGCACCCTGCCCTTTTTTTATTCCTAGAGAGAACTTTGTTATAAGGATAGAATAAATTAAAGTAAATTTAATATAGTACCAGAAAATTACTTTTTATATCTCCTATTTTTTTTTTTTTTTGAAAAAAAGAAATTTTTCATTCTGTTTATTTTTGCTTCGTACAATATTTTGAAATCTTTGCATAATGTTATTTAAGATATGGAATTATTTTGTGAAATATGCATAGAAAATAGTATAAGAGAGTAATTTAAAAATTGAGGATCGAATTCAGTTTTTTCATAATAATATGCAATTTGCTAAATTTTAACGATGCTAAGTGAGTGCTCTTTTTTTATGCAGAAGCACCCTGCCTTATTTTATTCCCAGGGAAAACTCTGTTATAAGGATAGAATATATTTAAGTAAATTTAACATAATAGCAGAAAATTAAAAGTTTTCGTAGCTCCTTTTTCTTTGAAAAAAAAAAGAAACTATTTTCATATTGTTAATTTTTGTTTCATACAACATTTTGAAATCTTTGCATCATGTTATTTAAGATGTGGTTTGCGTATTCATACTTTTACATATTAATGAGCTATTTTTAATCGTGAATTCAATGTGCGATTTGTTGTATTGTAGGGGAGAAGGGGGCTAGTGTGGACAAGGGGTTAGTGTGGACACCTTGAATAAAATAAAAATTATTTTCTCAAAATTCTTTCTGTTAAGTTTTTCAGAATGGCAACATCAACACACACTTCCATGTGTAGTTGCATATCAATACATTTGATAGTTTAGTAGCATTTTACAAAAGAAGGTTTTCATGGTGAAAAAGTAAGTTCCTAATTTTTCTTTTTGCTATTAGATTAGACTATTTTCTATTATTATTTTAATTAAAAGGAGACATTATATCATAAATAAATGTATTCTGCATATATTTTTATATTTAGTTTTGCTGTGCATGGTTTTAATTAATCAGTAATAGATTTAAAAGAAAAAATGGCTCCATGGGGCTACTGTGGACACATGATGATGGGGCTACTGTGGACATGTCCACAGTAGCCCCCATTTAGCTTTCAATGGAGAAAAGAAGTCATTTAACCAAAATATATCCTATTTTATGCTATTTTTCTGCTAAATTATAATAATTTTGAAAAGTATACATTCTTTTATAAGAAATTTTATTTTAATTTTTTCACTGTTTAGGTTTTTTCTTTCTAAGTTTGTTTTTTGTAAAGCAATGATTTCATTTGCAAATGGTTTTATTTATTTATTTATTTTTAATTTTATTCTTTTACCTATATAATAAGATTGCTTTTTGTAAAATGAAGAATCCATTTAGAAAGGATTTTATGTATTTTTTGCCATATTTTAGGCTTTTATTTAATAAGTGAGCCTGAGGCTTGCATATTCTTAAGTGATAAATTTGTGTACAAGAAATTCTGTTCTTTTCACACATTATTTTTTTTAATATTCAAATTACTAATAGCTGCTTATAGATTCTTATTTTTATTGTAATTATAAAACACTAAAGAAATTTATACTTTTAATTTTAGGCAATCATGGTTCGCTCATACCAACGTAAAACTGATCGCTCTAATCTGTCTGAAGAAATTATTGAAAAAGCTGTTAAAGATGTAGTTTTAAACAACAAAAGCATTCGAGAAGCTGCAAAACAATATAATTTAACAAAATCTATGCTTCATAAAAGAGTAAACATAGCCAAAAGCCAATGTAAGGAATTTTCAGCATGTAGTGTAGAAGAGATTGATGTTAAAACCACAAAAGTAATTGGAAGAAATAAATATCGATGCCATCAAGTATTTACAGATGAAGAAGAACTATTACTCAGTGAATATTTTTTGACTTCTTCGAAAATCCATTATGGATTGACATTTTTACAGGCAAGAGCACTGGCATTTCAATATGCTGAAAAGCTTGGTAAAGCAATGCCAAGCAGTTGGAATGTGAAGGAATGTGCTGGCATTGATTGGATGCAAGCTTTTATGAAGAGGCATCCTGGACTTTCCTTACGTAAACCAGAAAATACCAGTCTATCCAGAGCAACATCATTTAATAAAAAGAATGTGGATGAATTTTTTGACAATCTTTATGCTGTTATGGAGAAATATAAATTCAAACCTGACCGTATTCTCAATACAGATGAAACAGGAATTACAACAGTATTGCAAAGTCCTAAAGTAATTGCACAAACTGGAAAGAAACAAGTTGGACAAGCTGTGTCTGGAGAACGTGGAGAATTAGTTTCTTTTTGTGGCATTGTATCTGCAACTGGCAATTCCATTCCTCCTGTTTTTATTTTCCCCCGAGTGAAGTATAAGGACTATTTTCTAAGTGATGCTCCGACTGGAAGTCTAGGTTTGGCTACGAAAAGTGGATGGATGACAAAAGAGTTATTTCCAACTGTTTTGCATCATATAAAAGAACACACGAAATCTGATATTGAGAACCCAATTCTGTTATTAATTGATAACCATAATTCCCATATTTCAATTCAAGCTATTACATATGCAAAAGAAAATGGTATCATATTGCTTTCTTTTCCGCCACACTGCTCTCATCGGCTACAACCGTTAGATGTTGCAGTTTATGGTGCGTTTAAAGCGGCATGCAAAGTCGCATTTAATGACTGGTTGCTGAATAATCCTGGTAAAACAGTATCAATCTATAATATTCCTTCATTAGCAGCCAAAGCATATTACAGATCCTTTACGCCAACTAACATAATGTCAGGATTTAAAAAATCTGGCATTTTCCCATTAAACAGACTGGCATTTGGAGAGGAGGATTTTTTTTGCAGTTACGTTACTGACCGTGAAAACCCGGGAAGCAATGCAAATGCTGCAGAGCATAGTGTGATAAATGAAGATCTACAAGAAAATGAATTAGAAGATGGTCAAACTGTGCTACTACAACCAACTACTCCTGAATCTGTACGACCACTTCCTAAAGCTGCCCCAAGGAAAAAGAAAAACTTGCTAAGGAAAGGAAAATCAAGAGTGTATACAAGTACACCTGAGAAAAGAAGGATAGAAGAAATGGAAAAAAATAAGCTTATTAAAGAAGGAAAAGGCGAAAGAAAAAAAAGAAAAATTCTTTTCTCTAAGGAGAGCAAAATGACAAAAAAAAATCTGTCTACCTCTTCTGATTCAGAAAGCTCTGTATCAAGACAAGATCGATCATCAGAGTTTGAGGAAACCATATTAAAACCTATTACAGACACAGATTTAATAGGCATTAATGACTTTGTGTTGGTCAGGTTTCCTAAAAAAAATAATGTTTTTCACTATGTTGGAAGAGTTGAAGCGTTATACGGATCAGAGGATTTCGATATACAATTCCTCAGAAAAAAAGAGGGACAAAACAGTTCTTCTAAGCTAAGTGAATCTTTCTTTTTCCCTGCTGTAAAAGATGTTTCACAAATTTCCCGACATGAAATTGTAGCCAAACTACCATTGCCGGACATAGCTGGTCGTACACTTCGAACTGCTTCACAAATAACTTTTAATGTTGATTTGTCAAATTATATCGTAAAGTAGAAGAAAAATTTCAATTCTACAATCATTTTCAAATAAATAAAATTTAAAAAATAGCTTTTCAGTATGTTGATTTGTTTCTGAAATATTTTCTTTATCAAGAAAAAATTCTCAATTAAAAATTATAATCATAGGCTTACCATTGATAAAAATATGCTTTATTAAGGTTTATATTTATTAGGGATTGTTCTGTTTAGGTTAAAATTGATTTCTTTGTTTTTAAATTCAATATTATAAATTGAATTACATTGCTTAATCAATATTTTAATTTGTCCACACTAGCCCCATAGCTTGTCCACACTAGCCCCATGACATGGGGCTAGTGTGGACAAAAACAACAATTTTTAAAAAATACATAATTAAAGAATTATAATACCAAATGTTTTAATATATGATCTAAAATATGTGCAAAAGTACAAATTAATGTAAAAAATTAACCAGAAGCCTTAAAAAAAGTAATTAGTAATATGTTTTTGCCAAAAATGTAAAAATTGTCCACACTAGCCCCCTTCTCCCCTATGTGTTTAGTACATAATTTGTTAATTTAAATATATTAATAGAATTTTATTAAAATATTTAAAAAAATTCTTTTATAATTATACAATTAGTTCACTCTTTTACATAAAATATTGAAAGAAACTATAGTTGTAATGATTTCTTACAAAATTCATTTTGTTTATTTTTCACTAAAATATATGCTTTTAGTTTCCACTTTTTAAAAGTGATATTTGTAGTTTGGAAATTAATAGGTTATTATTATTTTAACTATGATTATTATACAATACAATTTACCTACAATTATTTTAACTAGATTGAAATTACAAGTACGTTTACATTTACAATTACTTTTAATATGTAATAGTTCTTTTTATGAAAGAGTTATTTCCACTTGAGTTGTAAGTAACCTATTTCTTCTGAACTGGTTTTTTCGAAAACTTATTTTTCAACCTGCAAAATTTAATTTAGTTTGTTTTAAATAATTGTATCGGTTTCAACGATTGATGGCATAACAAATAATTTATTATAAATAGATGTGTAATGTACAGTTTCTTTTGATTTTACAGGTATGGTTATATTGTGTTATAATTAGTCTCAAATAAGTAGAGAGAATTTGCTTCCATGCTTTTTTAATATTTTATTTTCTTCCTGTTAATAGATAGTACGCCATTTAGAAATAAATAGTGACTTACCAAAACAAGTAGAAAGTGCTGGAGGAGTAATACCTTATGCTGCAATATGTGGGAATATAAAGTCGTTAGCAACACCACTTAGAAGTCATCACTTCACACATCTTCGTGGAGTTATTTACACACGACTCATCAAAGAACGGCAAATTAGGTGGAATCCACTCTTCAGTGCATGGTTAGTTAAAAATATAGTTTTTCATTAAATATTATCTTAACTAACAAAGTTTTCATTTCTTCACAGTCATTATGGTAATAAAAGCTAATAATTTCAACTCAATTTGAGGTTAAAGTTATCAAAATGTATCAGTTTTAGACTCTAGATTTTCCAGTATCCCCAGATAGGTTTTATTTAAAAAAATTGTTTTTAAATTCATGGAAAAAAATTAAAGATTTGGGTAATGTAAGTATCAGAGATCGAAAGTTCGACCCTCTTATTGTAATTCTACTTTTTTTTTTTACATGTATCACTGTATCTGAGGAAATATTTTTGTGAACCAATTGAACCCAATTATATAATTTATTTATCCTATTAAATTTTTTTATAGTTATTAATTGTGTTTTATTGTTTAGGTAAATAATTATCAAGTTTTTTTTCACTGTAACTTATACAAATTGATCAAAATTTTAAACAATGCATTGCAATTTTAAATAAGATCTAAAATTTGAATAGAATCTGTCAAATAATCCTCTAGGGATAATGTTAAAATGAGTTCTTTTGCTGTTTTACTGTAACTTTTTGATCTTTATTTATTTAAATAATAATAAATATTTATTATGAGCTATTTTTATTGCAATTTTTTGTATTTTGATAAAAAATATTTGAATGCATTTTCTTTATTTTAAATAATTAAATTTAGACGATTTAAGCTAATTAGGGCGAATTTTTAATTGGACTAAATATCGTATTCCATGCTATTAAATTTATTTCATGTCTAATTTGTCAAAAATAATACTCATCAAAAGCCTAATGTTTAGGGACCAGTGCCTTCAGATATATAATTACCTATATGAATCAAAATAATCTTTTATATATCTATCAAAAAGACATTTTGTCTTTAAATGCTTTTAATGAGAACAGTATTCAACATATATAATATTAAATTTTAAGAAAATTCTACTAAACTCTAGTTTTTTTTTAATAGTACAATTTTAGAATGAAAACTAGAACCTGTTAGCATATGCTACACTTGTATCAAAAACATTAATAAAAATTAATCGTTTGAATAAAAAAAAGTATTTAAAAACTTGTAGCAATCAATAAAAACTATATTTTAGCTGACTTCAATGTGCAATAGTAGAGTTAAATGAAGTAATTCTCCATTATAGGTCTCACTACTGTAGCTTGCTTTGCGCAAATATAATTATTTGACTATCCCATCATGTTTTATCTGTTATGCAAGTTTCCCTTGCGTGGAATGCTGCTTTTTTTGGTGAAGCAATTTCAATGGCCAGTTGTGTAATGTTTATACAGTCAAACCCCGCTAATAGTGAACCTTCAAGGGACTGAAATTTCGGTTCACTATTACCGGGAGTTCACTATATCTGCTACGCAGGCAATTTAACTAATGGTTCTCAAACTCCTCCTTTTTATTACACATTATTTAAATAAATGACTGAAAAATATTATGCAATAGCAAAAAAAGTGTTATTTTTCATTACTCTTCGTCTTGCGTACAAATTAAATATTAGTAATCTTTAGCTGATGAGCAATCCTCATCATCAGATATGGAAACACTTCCCAGCTCCGCTTTTTAAGCCTATCTAACCTGCCATTCGAGCACATAAAAGTAGCCTCATAAAATCGCTTAGCAAATTCATCAAAATTTGTCCAGATACTGGAAGATTGCGGCTTCTTCGATTTGTGAACCACTTCAGCAATGCTTCTTCAACATCCTTCTGATCTGCTTTTCTCAACTTTTTTCTGCCAGCTAAATTTTTTTCATGAGCAGAAATTATTAATTGCCTATTTTTCCATATGTTACAAACTGCTGCAAATATCAGCTTGATTGCATCCATTTCAATTTTTCTGATTATTGAGGGCCTTATTAACACATATTAGTGTCCAACTCTTTAACCAATAATCAATAATTACTCATTCCCTCTGACAGATAGTGCATAATGATCCCACTTACACCTTACAGGTGCATCATCTGCCTGGGTTGGAAACATCTGCTTGGTTTGTTTAGGGATGGGAAAGTGAGATAAAAGAAGCAAACAGGAAAAATGCTTATCGCTACATTACCCTCTATAAATGGTTTTAAAAATCGGTATACGTATTTACTTTGAAGCAGTAATTTCAAAATTATTACAAAAAAATGAGAGAAAAAATCAGTCGAAGACAGAAAAAAGTTCCCTATATCCAACTTCCTCACTTTTTTGGTTCACTATATCCACAAAAAATAACACTATACGTGTATAGCAAGACACGGGACTGAACATTTCGTTCACTATATCTATGTACCGTGTTTGACTGTATTTCAATTTAAAAAAAAAAATCTAATAATCTTAAAAATTATTTTTTAGGGGGACTACCGAAATTGATGTAGAAAAAGAGGTTCTGAATATACCTTTTGGACTGGCTGGTGGTACTTTTTTTAAAAAGCAAATTGTAGAAGTTGTTAATCCATTGTCTGCTAAAGAATTATCTTTATTTGATGTGTATGATGACTTCAAGTGGAAAAAAGAAAGCTTGTCTGATACTGTGATAGGATACTTTCGCGGTGAACATACACTCGGCACTCACGAAGTTGAACGTATTTTGCCAGAAGAAATCCCATTAACTGCAGTTGGAAAACTAGCTATTGAAAATGGGAAATTGAAAATAATGCCACCTAAAGATGGATTGACTTATTTTTTAACCGCAAGTACCTTTGATACTTTAATAGATAAGATCAGAAGTTTAGCATTTTTATACAAAGGATTTCTATATTTGATAGGAGCTGGAACCGTAATATTAGTGGTTTATAATTTTAAGAGGATATTTGTAGCTGTTAAACAGTGGAGAGATCGTAAGAAGCAAATGAAAAGGTTTGAGGAAGCTCGGAGATTAAACGCCTCTCGTCCCAAACAAGATAATGAACCTAGCTGTGTTGTTTGTTTAGAAAATGCTGTGGAAGTTATGATTTTAGAATGTGGACACATGTGTTTATGTTTAAATTGTTCAGAACATGTGAATGGACGTTGTCCTGTTTGTAGAGCAGAAGTAAGAAGATTTGTGCCTGGTTTTTTACCTTGAAAAAAAGGTTAAAAGTATTTATAGATGTGTTGAAATAAAACAAATTTTTTTAAAACACATTGATTTGATTTCGATATTCTACAATCGATGTATAATTTATATCCTTTACTGTGATAGGATGCTGTTAGTAGCTTTAAAGAGAGACATTACAACCAACTAAGTGTGTAATTTTTGTTTTCATCTAGCAAAAAATAAAGTTTCTACATGTTATTGCAATCTGTGACAAATATATTTTCAATAAATTAGCAATAAATATTTTTTTGCATCAGGCTCAGTGCATGTAAAAGAAAAAGATTAAATAAAAACTGTGATTGCATGGAGATGAGAAGGGCCATGCAATCACAGTATTGAGATAGTATGATAAGCTTCATTGGCTCAGGGGATAGAGCATTGGCCTCGCAATGAGGTGACCCAGGTTCAAACCCCAGCGGTGGCTGGTTGGTATGAATTCTGCTCCAGACTCACATCGACCATAGTACCAACATGAAATGTCCTCAGTGGTAGACAGATCACGGGTTAGAATTCCCTTGTTATCAGGCTAACCATGGGAGATTTTCCTCTTCATGTAACATAAATGCGGGTTAATTTCATTAAAAAGTCCTCTGCGAAGGCTATTTTGCCCAATGCTTGATCCAAGAGTTCCCTTGTCTTCTGGAATGGGTTCAAAATTACAAGACTACGGAGTTGATCATTAATAGTCGTAAACTCAAAATTGGGTCGGTTGTTCAGCGAGAGTGAAAAAGGTTAAAAGTTAAGGTGCATATGCACACAACACTGCCAAAATTTAGCCCTGAGTGGTGATAGTAGCATGTCAACTTTATCTGTCTCTAAAATCATCCGGCGATATTACAATAGAAAAGATTAAAAATCACTAAAATATGACCTGAGAAAATGCAGTTGGATCATACATCACAATGGTACAAGCAAGGGGAATCACACCTTGGTGCAGACTAAACTTACCTCACTGACTGAAACTTAGGCTCTAGGATGATATTACGGGTCACCATCGGCCGCAGGGTGACTAAATATAAAAAGTGGTGTACAAAGATTTTTTTGTTCATCACCCCTAGATTTCCAAAACATACCTCCTGTTGTTACTTATTCCACTTGGCCCAGAATAAGGCTAGACCAAATGGAAATAATTAATAATCAAATGTAAAATCTAATAGTATATTAAATACCAAGTCCTGTTACTACCACATCTCTAACTATAGTTCATTAAGCAGCACTGGCTTAAATAGATTGGCGATTATTTTGTGGTTCCTCGAAATGGATAAGGGCAATTAATTATTAAATAGCTATCAACTTCACTTTAATATTTACCATATAATTTTATAACAGATATGTTAAAGCTAGTAAATATTAAGTTAATTTATTTTACATTTTCTTTTTCAGTGAAAGTGTAAAGAAAAGTCTAATACCATTTAAGCTAAAACATTTAAAGCTCAATGTAAACATACTATTTTACTAGCTATTAAAATTGAAGAAAAAATATAGAGAAAAAATAGTTATTCTGGAAACTTCATAAAAGTCAGAAAAAGACTAGGAAATTTCATCCAAAACTTTGTCTGACATTTGGAAACAATTATCCCTGCACATGGTTGCCACAGAAAAAAAATGAACAAAATAGTTGCTTTTAGTAGCCTAAAGCATGAAAATAGTAGCCAAAAACTAGGAAAATAGTTGCCTAATAAGAACAAAAATTCATCTAAAATATGACTAAAATTTTGTTAATGACTTAATTGTCATATACCATCATCCATTCAGTCAAGTTGGTGGCAAATATGATAATTTTCATATAAATGTTTATATATATATATATATGAAAAGTGATTACTGAAATTCGAAATTCATGCATTGTAATACCGTAAAATTTTTTTTTTAAAAATGAAAAAAATTATGCAGAATTTTTTAGCAATAATTATTGAAAAGGTGATCGAGAAATGAAATAGACTTACAATGGAATTTGTGCAGATTGAACGAATTAAAAAGTGAAGACTCAAATTTGCAATTTAAAATTTTTTATAAAAAAAAAAGTTCAGTGTGTTCAGGAACTATCTAGCGGGGCGCAGATTTTTCACCAATTTATGCTTGAAAAAAAAAACATCTCTAGGAGTCATGGGTGCAAGTTGGAAAAAAGGCCAAGACTGAAATACCTAACATACACAATACCCCCTCGACATATGCAAACTATCTAAGAAAGCTTTACCATAATACATCAAGTTTAAGTACTGTACAAAAAATATTTATTCATCTGTCTTTTGATAAAATAACAGCAGGAGATAAGAAAGTAGACCAATAACGTAGACCTAAAAAATATTTTTAAGGACTGAAAAAAAAATTTCCGATTTCCGTCTTACTTCCGTCCGCGGACATTTTCGAAAGACGGAAATCCGTCCAGGGGACGGAAGACTTGCACCCATGCTAGGAGTACAGAAAAGTCTCCCAATAGTCTCCTTTTCTTGAAAATAGTTGCTTTTTTAGCCTTTTCTTCATGCCAAAAATAGTTGCATTTTAGTCGCCTGTGGCAACCCTGCTGCACAAAACCTTCGAATATGTTAAAATATTGCTGCTGAAGTCGATATAAAAGTAATTAGCATCACATGTTCATTTAAAAATTACGTCTTTATTAAACATAAGAAGGATCTAAAAACATGAAAAGCAACTATGCAGACTATTAAGTTAGAAATAATACATTAGGAACATATAATAGTACATATTTTGCATAGATAAATTGGGTAACAAATTAGACAAGCAATGTGAGATCAGATACTAAAGACTTAGTTCGATATGATAGCATACAGAGAAAAAATATCACGAAGATTTACTAAACAAATCATGAAATAATATTGTGCAAACTTGTTTTTAGATTGTTTTTAAGCTCATTAATTAATAAAAAAATTTAATTACAAGTGAAGCTTAAGTTATGTTAGACATTTTATACATATGCATTAACAATGTACATTTCCAAATAAAAATATCTGATAACATTCAACAGTAATTTATTTTAGAATAAATTAACAACTTCTATAATTTAAAATTGCAAACATTAAACATTGTCAGTAAAGTAATTTAATAGTACATATTATTTTAATATTCTTTATAACATTTAATACTTTTTTCATGCACTTAAAAAAATTGCATAGTTTTTTTGTGAATGATAATCTGTGTTTACAAGTTTGAATCAAAAACTTAATAAAAAATCATTCTTGAGAAATAATATTTTACAAAATACAGCAGTTTGGTTAAAAATTTTACCTTCATCTAATTTCTACTTTTACTAAAGAAAAATTGTTCGTCTCGGTTTTGTCTCAATTATAAAAAGCCTCAATTATTTTTATTAAACTAACTGGATCCTTAAAAAAAATGACAACAGTGATCGTAATTTTTAGGAAAAAAATTGTTTGTTTTATTCTAATTATTTGGTTTAATAAAAAATCTATGTTTCAGAATTTTACATTTTGATTAATGTTTATAGCTAACAATTTATAGAATAGGATCAAAATTTAACAAGAGGTATCAAATAGAAATGTATTTATGTTTAAATTTAATAACTAGTTTGACATATTTAAACAAAAATTGTGCATCGCAAAATTTTTTTTCTAGGATTCAGTTGAAAGTAAAAGTGCTTTGAGTAATTTGTAGAAGCAATTTAAATTACTTACATTTTAATAATTAAAATATATTAAAAATGATAAAACTAAAAATGATTACTTTACTATAAAGGAATTTAGAAAACAGGATAATTAGTTTTTAAGAAATTGTTAAAGTATACTAAAAATGATAAAAAAGGAATTTTTATGAATGATTCCTAAAAGTCTCAGTTAATTCAGAACATTAATTCATTAACCAATTATAATTTGTTTCCATAAAATTTTGAAAGTCTAAATTAATATAAAAGCAACTTTAATGTCTAAGAAAAGTTACCTAATAAGCAATTATTTTTCATGTATTATACAGATAAAACTTATAATATGTAAACATTAATAAATGCTTTCTTATTTACACATTTATAACTATTAACTAAACTGCAATACTTATTTCCATTACACATAAATGCACAATGAAATTATGGGTGATTTAAATATAAATGAAATTGATATTTTTAAAGGAGAGGGTAAAAAAAACCTTTCATGAAATTCAGAAAATTTCTGCTAGCTAAACAAGATTAGATCAGTAAAAAATGTGATCATATTTACTACCTCTAATCTCATGGGCTGCTAGTAAGAAATTCTTAATTTCAATCGAATTTTTTTAAAAGCAATTCAATCAGATATATATTTTATGCACCTGTGTATAAAATCAAGTTAATACAGTCAGTAATCGGACAACAGTTTTTAGTTTTGTTTATACAGTGCATTTTTCACTTGCATTTTTTTTTTTGGAATAACTTTTGCTCACTTTATGCCATGCAAATCATTGCATGAATAACTATATATCACAAGTTAAATAAGTATTTTAAAAAGAAAGCATAGTTAATAAAAATAGCACTAAGTTCTAAGAAACAAAAAATAAATTTAAAGTGCGGAATTAAATGTGAATTCGATAAAACACGTAAAACAGGGAAGCATGGAAAATGACATAAAATAGTTCGTACTTTGAACTTTTATGATTTACAATATTATATACAATGTTGTGGAAAAAATATAACAATATTATGTTCTTTATACAAATCAACTCAAAATATACACAAAGAGTGTTATAAAAATGAAAGTGAAACATTTGTTCCACAAAAATAATGAGATTTTATGATGCTAAGATAGTATATAAACACATAAAATTTTATAAATAAAATTTTCAGTATTTTATTATTTACAACTAAAGACAATTGATAAAATGCAAGAGGGAAAGTAATACTGAATGTGGGGCTTAGGTTGAAACATGCTAGAATGAATCATCTTTGTTCATGGTATTTTCTTTTCCTTCAATAAACTAGCCATAAGATCTCAAGTGATCTTATAACCTTCAGGTCTTATTATAAGATCAAGTGATCTTATAATAAGACCCTCAATAAACTAGCCATAAGAGACTCAACATTATCATGGAATGCATTACATTGTGATTGATTTAAAAATAGTTTGGAAAGTGAAAGAGAACATTAATTTATAAACAGAGATGTCAACCTGTAGTGATATTTTTTCATGGCACTGGAGTTATTTTTAACTTATAGTATTCTATTAGTAAAATATGTTTAAATATACAAATATTTATAATCAGGGTTTATAAAAAAGATTGCTTTAAGTTTAATTAAAATTTAACTTGTTTATTGTGACCTTCATTTAATTGTATGAGCTGGCAAGAAATTCTAAAAGGTATTTACCAAAACAGCTGATTGCAATTAAGTGTTCGATACCCTTATAGAAATCTAAAAAACCTCTCCGATTTCTGTGATACAAACCATATCTTTTTCTTATTTCTGTTATAACTGGTGTGTATGGCCTGTGGTTGGCTATTTTGTGAAAGATGCATCTTGAATGTGTGATACGTCTTTCAAACGCAAGTGATGAAAAAGATACTCCGTTTAACAAATAAATGATTTTTTAAGGTTAAAAATCTGTTGCTGTGGGCATAACTTGGGTTTAACAAGGGACTTTTTTTTAAGAAAATGTTCAAAAAATAATTTATTTGCAGTTTGCAAACATTTCTTTCTCTAGGAAAACATTTGCAACCTCTTCTAGTTCAAAAATTGGAAGTGAGATGTTTTTATAGTTCAGTTAAAGTTCAATATTTTGTTAAATATTCAATATATAAGACCATTTAAAAAAATATAAAAAAAGTAATGCCACATAAAAATTTCAAAATAAACCAAGTTCAATTTTTAAAATGTTAGAAGTAAAAGAATGACCATTATATGCACATGTCAGCACTAAAGGTTATCATTTTAACATATTTAATCTTAATTTATCAACAATTTTCATTTATACATAATTTATCATTATCATCAATCTGGAATTAAAGAGAAATCGGATGATAAATAAAATTTCACTGTTTAAAAGGATTTACTCATTTTTCCTGAGTAGTTCTTAGTAATTTTAAAAGTTTTTAGGTTTTTAAAAATTCCAGATTAAAATGAACATGCATAAGCACTTTCTAAGATCCTTTGGAATTCTAATTCATCTCACTGATACACACCTTTGACGAAAACTCAAGTCCTAAATGCAATAAAAAATAGATAACGGCAATAAAATACTTTTTTACTCAAGGCAGTTAGTGATAATCTTTTTTTGAGTGTTGCATATCTCAAACTGTTGTCATAGTTGACATATTGTGTGCAGTGTTGTTAAAAAAAAGCAAACCCTTAAGTATTTTCCAGTTCATTTCAGTGTATTGGTGATAATTTCAGTCTATATGGTTTAACAAGCATTTTAATTTAGCAAGTGAATTGTTTAAGTACCCTCTTTCTAGTCAATAAACAAGTTTGACTATACCTAACAAATTTAAGTCGATGCAAAAAAAACAAAAGGTTCGTATTTATATTGAAAAAAATGAACGGAAAGTCACTCACAAAAAATTTTATGAAAATAAGGGACCAATTAAAAAAAAAAAAGGTGAGAAATTGGATTTCTTCAGTTTTTCACAGCCCGAACAGAAATCCATAGAAATGATTAAAAATCTACAGTTGCTGACATCCCTGTATACAAAATAACTTAAATGATCTTCAGTGGTATTGATTAAAAATTTTGAGTGATCTGAATAAAGTAGGAAAATCCAATAGATATGACATGTAGAGTTATTTGATGTAGACATTGGAAAAGAATTAAAGCCCGTTCATGGTTTATTACATGTTTTTAATATAACATGCAATTAAATCAGAAGAATATAAAATCATAAATAAATTTAAGCTTAAAATACTTTGTATTACATAATTTAAGATTAGTTGCATAGTTTCAAACATGTTTAAATAGCTTTACATTTAATAAGCTTTAAAAACACATGTTTACTAAAAATCTTTAGCAGATCATATGATTAGGTCACAGGAATATAAAATTGTAAATAAATAAATGCTTCAAATATTGCATAATTTAATGTAATCAATAGCATAGTTTCAAATATGTTTAAACTGCTTTAAGTTTAATTAGGTTTAGAAATACATGTTTATTATATGTCTTTAATAGATCATATAATTAGGTCTGAGGAACATAAAATCATATATATTCAAATGTTTTAAATATTTTGTCTTTAACACTATTAGTTGCATAGTTTCAAACATGTTTAAACTGCTTTAAATATATTTAGCTTTAGAAATATATATTTATTACATGTTTTCAATAGATCATATAATTAGGTTCAATGAATATAAAATCACCAATACATATGATTAGGTCAGAGGAATATAAAAATATGTTTAAACAGCTTTAAGTTTAATTAGCTTTAGAAATACCTGTTGATTATCTGTCTAAAATAGATCATGTAATTAGGTCCAAGGAACATGAAATCAAAAATATACATATATTTCAAATATTATAGATTGCATAACAATGTCAACAGTTGCATAGTTTCAAACATGTTTAAACTGCTTCAAGTTTAATTAGTTTTAGGAATACATACTTATTACGTTTTCAATAGATCATATGATTACATCTGATGAAAATAAAATCACAAACACATACAAGCTTCAAATATTTTGAACAGCATATTTATTGTCAACAGTTGCATAGTTTCAAAGAGTTAAACCTAATTGCTTTAAGCCAAATTAGCTTCACAAATAATCAGAAATAGGTTATTTAAAACTTTTTTACGAGGTGTGCATAGGTAATGTTTATTTATTTCTTTAGCAAAAAGAAAATTTTATGAGGACAATGTACTGAAGATATATTTCTAAATTACAGATTGATATATGACATATTACGCATTGATTTAAAAAAGGCATTAACAAAACAAAATAAACCGCAAAATTTATAAAAATATTTTTAAATATGCTTTAATTTCTAAGAAAATCTAAGGTGGCCACTCTCCAGACGTATAAAAATTTAGAGATTTATAAAGTAAAATTTTAAGAGTTTCATGGTTTAAATTAGTGTATTAGTAGTAGTTTTTTAAAATTTTAGATGCATATACCTGCATTTACACATAATTTATAAATAATAAAGAGAAACATATACAAAACATTTTCTTAAAATTGCTAATTTTTCTCTTTAAAATTTCATGATACTAAACAAAATAATCTCTACATAGTAAATTTATTATTATTTGTACAGAAAGCTCTAGGTATGAATTAATAGTAAAACTTTTTTGCAAATTTTAATAAAATTAAAAATAAAAGTATTTATTAAAATAGCATTGATTACAACAAAAATAAATGATATCATTAAAATAATTTATGTTTGATTATGAAGATCATATAAACAAGTTTTATTGTATAATAATAGATTAAAACACTAACAGTAAAATTGTATGCGATAATTATGAAATATATTTAAAAAATGTTTAATTGTGAATTTTCTCGAGCGTTGCATGTTTTCTCTTATAGCAATAAGTGGCCACCTAAATATTTATTATTTTCTTCTTAAATATTATTTACTTAGATTAAGAAACATTCTAAAGACTTGATGCATAATATAAATTCTCTCTTGTGTAATTCTGATGCATAAAATTAGATTTAATCAAGCAGCTAAAAATGTAGTAACCAATAAATACAGTCTTCGAATAAAATATTAACTCGTGGAGATCATTAAATATTTATTCTTATATAAATAAAAAAAGTACAGTAAAATTAGTAAATTGAGGATTAGTGTGTTATACAAAAAGTGTTTTATTCATTCACTATACATCTATAATTTTTTATCAATTCTTTCAATTGAAATTTTCCGCTTACTATTAAAACAGTTATTATAAAATCTTTTGACAGGCTAATTGTATGTTTTGTATAGAAAATAGTTTCCGATAAAATACTCTCAAAATTTACAGTTCAAAAGCAAACATGGCCTTATCAAATAGGAAGAAAGTGACATTAATAAGATTTGCAAATATTACAGCATAAAACACAGAAATTGTTCAAAAGCTTTCTTTTTTTCATGAACATGGAAAGAAAATTGTTACACAATACCACACATTTCTCTACAAATATACAACAGCTTTCAATGTGCCCTTATAATATTCGTGCAATAGTTTTTTTTAAAAAAAAATTCTCTAATGAGAATTTTTCCCATTCTTAGAGTTTTTACACTTCAAGCTGCGCTGACGTGATAGCTGATTGGTGGATCCATGCCTCATTCGATTGGATCCCTCGTTGACTAGAGGGGAGTACTCAGTTGTCGGCTCTTTTTCCGTAGGTGACCCTAAAGTTAGGCTTGACATTGACGATGACAAATTCATGGTGGATGAAACACTTAATGTACTTGGGTACTGAGTTAAGTCATGAACTTCACCATCCTCAATTGGTAGACAAGTTTCTACCATTGCTTCTAAGCAATTGGTGAATAGTTCTGCATTGTCAAGATTTGTCTGTGACTAGAAAATGAAATTGTTAAAGCCAATTTTAAGATTATTATTAAATTGAGATAAATTAAGAGCAGAAATAAAAAAAAAATTTCAACTAATATATTTTTAAACTCTGTAGATGGGAAAAAATTAAGCCTTTTTATTATTAAATTTCTTCTGTAGATTATAAGTAATTGGTAAATTAATCTGCCTTTTACTTATAAAGAAGAAATAAAAAAAAAAAACATTATTCAAATAATTTTTATAGGATCAGAGATAAGAAAAAATGTTTCTGTTTTCATTATTAAATTCTTTATTGTTTCTGAGCCTTTGGTTAATAAAATTTGCATTGCCAAGAATTATCTGCTAGTAGAAAATGAGATTTTTTAAAACTACTAAGATTTCATATTCAAAGCGGAAATAATCATTTTTATAATTTAAAGAATTTTTTTAAACTCTGCAGATAAGAATTAATTTTTATGTTTTTTCTTATCATTAAATTTTTTAAACACTACTTACAAAAACTGTTAGCAACTCCTTTATTCAATACTCATTTTTTTTTTTTTAAAAAAAAGTTAATAGTGCAAAAAAAAAAGTTTATCTACATATCAAAATAATATATAAAAAAATAAAGTTATTGATTCATTTTTTTAAAAAAAAAAGTTCATAGCGCAAAAAATAAAGTTTATATATCAAAATAATATAAAAATAAAGTTCTTGATTCATTTTGTTAAAAAAAAGTTCATAGTGCAAAAAATAAAGTTTATCTATGTATCAAAATAATATATATAAAAATAAAGTTGTTGATTCATTTTTTTAAAAAAAAGTTCATAGTGCAAAAAATAAAGTTGATACTTACACAAATAGTAACAGCACAGGCATTTGACTGAAAATAATAAAAATAAGAACTTTAAATACAAAATGTAACTTTTTGATAAACAATTAAAGTAAAATTAAATAATTTAGAAAAGAAAAATAAAATAATTAAAAAAAATTTATTAAGGGAGTTCTACCTTTGTAAATGGTCCAGCAAATCGCCACAGACCTCCAAATCCAAAAGCTGTTGAGAAAAAACATAAATCTGAATTTTTACAATAGTTATGAAATCATTAGAAATAAAAATGTAAAAAAGATTATTATTTTTAATGACAGTTTCACTTGTAGCTGTGAGAATATCAAGCACTTTGAGTTTCTCAAGAAAATATATGAGAACAGTTTGTGAAACGCTCTAAAAAGCTTTAATTTATAATTCAAAATGTTTTTATACTGATGATTGAAAAATTAAGTATACAGAAACAACAAATTCAGAAACAATATTTTTTATTTCTTAAAAATAAAATGTATGGTAGTATGGAAAAAATTAAGTCTAATTAAGATAAAATTAAGTCTAATTGAGATAAGATTTACGACTTAATATAAAGTGCATTTCAGTTTATAGAAATTTCTGTTCAATAACAAAATTTTTTTGCTGAATAACAAGGAATTAAACATGTTTTTCGATCGGAAAAATAACACATGAAAGTTCATTGCAAAAGCTCAATAAGTTCAAATAACAAATTGCTTAGATTAAAAAAAGTTTGTTTATTAACGATAGCTTTAATAAAGAGAGTCAATGTTGCAAAACCTTTTTTACATTAATCCATTAAAACCATTTTTACATAATTATTAACATTGTTACTTAAAATACATTTTACAAATTACATTGTTATTAAATACAAGTTTACAAAATGTAAGACTTACTTTGCAAATAATGCAACTGTTGTTGACTGCTATCTTCGCATGATATCATGTTTTGAATGATGCTTTGAACAGCGGATAAAATTACCTGATCATGGCACAAAGACAAAACACTTGTAATTTTGGAATCCAGAAGACTGTGTCTAAAATTCGCAAAGAAAAACACATATAAATGTTCATAAGTAAAAATGAAATATAACACAGATTACTCATAAATTAAGTAATAATAATTCATACATCACAGGAAATACTCGAGCAAATACAACAGATGCTTCTGCTAAGTATTCGTATAGGACTTGCATTTCATTTTCATCAGTAGTGTTCCTTACAAGTGTTGCCTGAAATAAAGAAAAAACAATTCCATATTGCATGATAACAATAATGTACTTCGAAATGTTGTAATGCAGTGTTTTCACTAAGGAGCGAGAACGCGAGAATCTCGCATATTTTTTTCTTTTCTCGCATTAAAAAATGATTACCGCGAGAAAATCGCGCATTCCATAAACCAATTTAAAAATTCGCGAATTTCTCGCATTTTGAAAAAACTTTCTCATTGCGCCATTTAGAATAAAATCCGTTTCACTTTTCTTCTTGGATCTTTCTCTATTTTCAATATCTGCCCCATCCCTATTTACCAGGATTTTTCAGAACCTTTAAGAACAACAGAACACCATCCCTCCGAACCTCTTTCAGAACGCATTTCTCTGCAACCACGTGTTTACCGTAAGGTTTCTTCATGTAAGACGTTCAAATTTTTTGCGCATTAATGCAAGATGGACAAATACCTTGTAAAGGCAATATCTTCTACTCCGAAACGGACAAATGAGAATGAAACAAATGTGGGTAGAAACGATCAAAACGAAACAAATACGCATTTGAGCAACCTAATGAGAATAGCTGATGAAAAAGTAGATGTAGAACATTTTCCATATGATGATGCAGCAAAAATATTCAATGCTTTGAAAATTAGAAGATGTTAAAAATGTATTATAATTAAAGAAATGATTTTTTTTCAAGTCTCTTTGTGTTTTTCTTTTAATTTTTAGAAATCTCACTTAACTTTTTGAAATCTCACCCTGTTTTTGAGAAAGGGTGAGAAATTCTCACCCATTTTTTCTCTGCGATGAAAACACTGTAATGTGTATATTTATTTATAAATATAAAATTACTAGGTGGCTGAGCCCCCTGTTCGCTACCGCTCACCAACCCAGATGATTGCTTCACAATAATAGTTTTTTCTTGGCAGAAAACAGTTTTTCTACTAAAGTTAAAATTATTCACTTAACATCTATGTACCAAAAGGAGTTATGTTTACCTATGCACTTGCGCCTCTATTTCCAAATATTACTATCTATTAGTATTAAAAACATTTAGATCTCTTGGTGAACAGAAGTGATTTTTCTAATTATCATTTTTTAAAATAACATTTATATTCTTATAACATTATATTGTTCAAACAAATTTTATGAGTTCACAAACATAATTTAAAATTTACGCTAATAATAGCAGTACTGGAAAATAACTTTAAATTAGGAATACAAAAATATTTAAAGGAAAACAATGCCTTTACGACTTTTGTTAATTTTATGCTGATGACAACCTAAACAATATAGAAATGAATGGGGGAAAACTGGATCCTACCACCTGATTTTCTGGCCAATAAAAATGTGCCAACAACAATGGAAAACGGTGTTAGACCATTACGATTTTATGTTATATAGGGATATTTAAATAAATTGCCAGTGATTGATATTATACTTTAGAAATCTATCGATTAAAAATTGATTTTGAAAGATAATGTTTGTCTGAGTGGCAATATTTTACATTTTACAAAAAACTCAAAAATGTTAAAAAAAGATAGGGGGAAAAAAAACAGAAAATCATAAATATGAAGTAGATTTTCATGCCCAATAATTTAATATTAAAAGAAAAAAAAAGAGTTGAAATGAAATTACAGCATCAAAAAATGGTTAATGGATCTGAAACAAAGGGAATATAAAATAGAAAAATCAACAAAAATAGTTATACAAATTGAAGGAAGTCTTAAAAGTTTAAATACCAAAACTGTGAGAACTAAAGCTTGGGTGGGAAAGTCGACTAGAATTTCAGGATCTAAAAGGACATTATCTTCATTAGAAACTCTGGATGCTCCTTCTTTGTGGGCACTGGAGTCTTCATCTTGGTCATCTAGTTCTGGAGTCATTCTACCTCCTTCTTCGCTCTTCTGAGCCTTGGGAGTGGGCATGGAACTACTTCGCTGTGTTTTGAAACGAGGGCGCAATATCTGAGCATCAATATCCAAGCTTCGCCAGAACTTGTTTTCCTTTGGCTGAGGCTAAAAAAAATAACAATTATCTTATTTTAAACCAACTCCATCTTATTTTTGCACCCAAATAGAGAGCACCATAAATCAGACAAGATAGTAAAAACAATATATACATTAGGCTTAAAGGCTTTGTATCACAAGTGAATAAAAATGGAGTTGGCCCACAAATCAAATGAGGCCGAGAGTAAAGCCGAGAAAATAAAATGATATTTCATATAGTTGCCAATACAGATAGGAAAAAACTCAGTAGATTTTGCAAAATACTATAATAGTAATAGTATATTTAGTAAATATTGTTGCAAAATATACTAAATATTTTACACATAGGAAATTTTAGGGATTTTTATAGTCATCAAAATAGAAATACTGCAATATTTTCCAGTTACGATTTAACATTAAATGATCTTGAAATGTTATGTATTATGCTTATTCATAATTTAAATATTAATAGCCATTTAATTCATCAAAGAGAGTTAACTGAATTTTATAAATGAGGCTCGTTTCATAACATATTAGTGACACATACTTAAATATTCAAGCAAGCAATAATTTGCACAAAAATTCAATTTAAATAGGGATTTTTTAAGGAAACTTACTCAATTTTAGAGAATTTTCTAAAATGTACAAAAATTAGGAGAATTTTTATTAAACCAGTAGACTAGGAGAAACTGGCAAAATCCAGCAGTCTACTGGAACAATACATTTTGTCTTGGGTCTAATTTGGTTGTTACACCAAGTAATCAATAGTTCTAATTTGATTTAATCTGAATTATTTCCAGATAATCACAGCTAAACCATACTTATTTAAAAAAAAATTATGCCAAACATTAGAATGCTATAAACCAAAAAAAACCTATATGACTCTAATTAAGGTTTGAATTAATAGTTAATAGCAATAACTCTGATCAGAGAAAGTTTTTACAAAGTCTCATAGACATGCAACAGGGAATTTCATAAAAGTTAAATAATATTGACAAAATAACACTGGATAACGTAAGGTTGACTTCTAAACAAAGATTGAATAATTATTATACAGCTTGATTCTTACTTGTTGCACTGGTGACTGCTTGTTCTGTTTTGCTTGAAATAAAGCATTTTGATCAAGCGTGTCCCATGATTTATGTCTTCTGTTGACTGGTGTAACAGGAAGAGTTTGTTGAATGCAGTTGGCAGGTGGAGGACCATGGGGTGAAGTCTGTGCAGAATTGGAAGACGGTGAAGGAGTTGGTGGACTAGGATTACTTGGAGAAGTAGAAACTTGAGTCAATACAGTTGGGTGTAATTCTGTGGCAAACGCTTCAGCGCTAGGTGACTCAGAAATAACTCTAGTAATTCGGTGCTTTAAATGACATCTGCTGCGTACTTCCTCTGACACAGATACCAGTGCTAAAAAAATGAGATAAGAATTAAAAAAGCAGTTTCTATTTTCCCTAAATAATAAACAGATATGTTTTTGCCATTTTAAGGATAAAGGACACGACAATTTGTTTGACAACACAAGGAAATGTGGGTTTAGAATTTGATACAAATATCATTAATATCGCCAAAACTCTTTTAAATAATAAAAAGAATGAATTTCATGTTCTAATAAAAAACCTATAGTAAAACTTTAGTGTGCCATTAGTGAAGCTTCAGTTCAACATAGAAGTAGAAGTAACAATTTAAAAAAAACAAAAAACATATGATTTATTTTTTAAAAAAATAGGACAACTAAAAATAAATTAATTTATGCATATTTTTTTAATATAATCATTTAATAATTAAAATTTTACCTTTATTAATAACTTACTTCAAATAAAAATTTTTATCAACAAAATTCTTCTGCTTCGTTCCCGCATTTTTGTTTTATTTCAGTTATAGAACGTTGGTTGCCGTGATCAGTCATTGACTTGGCACTAGATACTTTACTCATCAGGTTCAAGAAGGTTGGAAGAAAAGTTTATCAGGTTTTGCTTGTGGTGCATTTTAATTTAATTTGGTTGCCTATGCTTTTTTTTGTTCAAAAGTCTTTTAGGCTTTGTATTCAGAAAATGCATCCTTATAAAATTTAATTATTGTTTGAGTGATGCAAACATCCATAACCTTTCCTTTTACACCATTTTTGATAATTCTTATGCATTTGATGGTGTGAAGGTTCATTCTTGATTTTCAAATGTGACAATTCTTTTATTAACAGAGAAACCTCTTTCAACTGCCCATGACAAAATGTATGACAGGCTTTGACAAGAACAGATTAGAAAACTGTATCAGGAAAGATCCTGATTATCTTTTAATTATAAAACTTTGTTCCAAAAGTAATCAATGGGTTTCCATGAATTTCTAGAGTAACTTCATTTTTTAGAAAGTCATCATAAAAAAGGTCCTTCAGATAGAGATTCCACTCATCTGTAACTTTCTTAATAGAATCCTCAATTAAAGCAACAAATTTTCAAAAGCAGTGCAGATTTTTCGGATTCTTTACACATTATGGGATGAAAAATCTATCAGTTTTGCACAATGATTTTGCTGTGTTGGAAAAGATTGATTGCAAAATAGGATTTATAAGATTATTTAGGTAATATAAAGCAAAACAGGAGGTTTAAAGTTTTAAAAAAATATATAGAAAATACAGAATTTATAGAGACTTTGACCCTGCGTTAATAACTAGACCAAATCAAATTAAAATTAAATTTTTAGTGCAAATATTAATACAATATGCTTGAGTAACCAAAGGAAAAAAAAACATTGAAAGGTTACAAGTTTGCTTATTGGCAGTAATATCACTAGGACAAAGAGTTCCGTAAATGATATGGTAAAGTAAAGTATTTCAGCAACAGCTCATTGTAGGCCAGATGGGTAATGGTGGCTTACAATTTTATGACCAACAGCATGATTGTCAGTAATGCAAAACAATGTGGTCAGTAATGCCCAAAGCCACTTTTATTTCCCAGACAAGCTGGTATCTATCGATTTGAAGCTTTGTAGGCTTCAAGCTGACATTGAGATTTTATCCCCAGTCCTTTAGCTTAGTGCCTTTAACCATTGAGTTATCACGGCTCAATCATAACGTAAGAGGTTGAAAATAAACAAAATATATTAATATAATATAATAGTAGTAAAATCAAATTGTTTACCAAATATGATTATGGTTCAATTTAAAAAAAAATATATTATTTGATTACTGTCAAAAATAGAAACATATGAACCCCTGCCTACATTAAAAGTAAATCTGCGCAATCATTTTAATGAGATTGGTGACATAATTTTAATCTAAAGTTATTACTTACCGGCAAGATAGGCAACACTTTCAGGAGTAACTTGGAACTTGTCCCTACAAATCAAGATCAGATGACTAAGAAACTTTTAATAACTTTGGTACATTAATAGAAGCAATGTAAAAATAAGCATGCAACTTAGTATATTTTACTGGTTGAGTAAATAATTAAATGGGCACAAAGAGTTTAAATATATAATTTTTATCAGTAAATTTACTTTAGTGAAGTAATTTAAAAGTTTCTCTCAGTGAAAAAAGAAATAGTTTTTTTTGTATGATTTTGACAGAATGTTAATTTGATTTTTACATTGTTACATTTTTCTAAAAATGTATAATATATATAGGGTGGTATATATGTAAAGGCTGGTAGAAAGGCAGCAGATTTTGTACAGGAATGTGTGGTAATGACACATCAGCATGAATCAGAGAAATCTGAAAAGACAAGTGAAGACTTAAAAGAAAAAAAAAATATTTTCAGTTTACAATAGGTATGTTAAGTGGATAACAAGCTATATGATGGGAAAAAGCATCAGTAATAGATAGAAAAATAAATAGACTCTCCTTTGGTAATTCAGTATTACGCCTGGAAGCATAAAATGATTCACTTGTGCTTAGCTTCCGATGAAGACGCTCCGAGTTCTATCCTGGAATCACTCCCTGTACATTTTTTGCAGCAGCTAATCCATTTCCTTGAGCAGTCCCATACATAAAATGCAACAACAGGGCTGCCACAGGAAAAATACCCCAAAAAAGTTGCTTAAGTAGCATAAAATTTTTAAAAAAGTAGCAAAAAAAGTAGCCTGTAAGCAAAAAAAAAAAGTCGCAAAGAAGTAGTATAATAAAAATTTACATTAGGTAATAATATAATAGGTAGGCATGAATAAGTAACAAGCCTGAAAAAGATAGATATGAATAAACAAAAATCAAATAATCTAGACTATTTATTAAAAACAAATACAATTTTTAAAAAATAATTTACAATTTATGCTTTTGGCTTTTTATTGAAGAAAGATTCTATTAAATTAGATTTTCTCTTGTTGACAACCCTATTTAGCCTATTTTCTTCTTGCTCACACTCTCTCTCTTTTTCTTTCAATTTGAGACTACCTTCTATCATACCCTGTGCTATCCGAATGCTCTCAATATTTTTATCATCAATTGCCAGTTTCAACCTCTTATTTGCCTCTTTAAAAAGTTCATCAGCTGATTTTCCAATTTCCTTTCGTTCTCGGTTGACTATCTTTGCTTTCTCTTCCAATTTTTTGACTGACCCTTTTAAATTTAACAAATTTTCTTCCTGCTTTTTCTTTTCTTTAAGATTTTCTTCATTTTCTCTTTCTACTCTCAGCTCTTCTTCTTTTTCTGATCATCAAGATAAAGTTGATATGATTTACGTGCACCATAAGCTAAGTTTAAAAGATCTTTAGTTATTGGAATTTCTGAAACCTTAGAATGAAGTTTAATGGAATCTCTGATCAGTAATCGGTCATTCAGAACTCGCTCTGACATTGAAGATTTATCTTCAGATAAAACTCTACGGGACACTGAAAATCCTCTTTCTACCTCACTGTTTCCATGAGATAATGATAAACAAACTTTACTAAGTTTACTTAAAGATGGATATTTTAAGAGCCCCAAATCTGTTTTTTTATATATGATATTCTGCCAAAAATGATCAATTCTTATATTACAACTGAGAGAACTAAAGTCACTTTCTGTTTGTAAAATCCTCCACTCATCTTTCACATCAACTTCCTTTACATCAATAAATGTAAAGTTTCTTGCGATTTTGCCTATAGCAGAGACACTTTTTTCAAGAGCTATGCGCCCAATAGACAAACAACGTAAATCTGTCAGCAAACTGTCTCTTTTAGAAATATTATTCCATATATA